AAGCGGAGCCAATTCACAAACGCGTCTAGCGCGACTGGTTGGCCTGACTTGGCCCGCCTCACGCCGATCACCACTGCCACGTCCCTCCCCACATGGTATCGTAGGCTTGCCATGTCGAAGGCAGGATCGGTCCACTCGATCGACTTGGTTTTCTGAGACGGTGCGACAGTACAAGAAACCGATGCGTCTGTGTGCATGTCAAACCTCCAATTGCAACCACTTGCGGTGATACTCACGTTGTAGCTATCTCGAGAGAGAACCAGGACCGCCAGCTTGAGACCTTCGCCGTGACGTCCCACAAGATGGTCGTGGGCACCGTGGACATCTTTGGTTGAGAATCCCATAGCTAGAGCATTGATGGGTAGTTGCATGCATGGATTTGCGATCGTGATTCTGCCTGTCTTTTTTTCGTACTGAATGAAGCCCAGTGCGCGTCGATTCTCACGCTCCGCTGGCTGGTCGGCAAGGGTTTGATCGGGAACAATGATTGAGAGATGGTCACTGTAGTCTTCCAAGAATGGCTGGAAGCTCTGACGGTCAAGATTGAATCTTTCTATGATGGCGTCCTTCCTGCGTGGATTAGCGTTTGTCCCGCGGAAGAGGCCAGCACGTACCAATTTTGATACAATTCCCGAAAAGCATCTGCTGGCGTCCAGTCTTTGACGTAGCCGGGGGAGATGCCGAGAGACACCACGCGTCGCGGGGCTCGGTATGTAGCGAGAGTAAGTTTCTGACTCTGGAGCAGCTCGCGTTTAAGCTGCTCGTTCGCCTGAGCCATCAGGCTATCATCCTCGCTCGTGTCGGTGTCGTGATTGGTTGTCATTCTTGAATGTCGTGTAGGCGAATCCGAATGAGTTGGTTTTGGGAAGAGAAGTAGAGAAGGGTGGCAGTATTTATATTCTGGCTTCTGTACTTAACCATGAAACCTACTCCAAATGTTGAGCACCGGTCACCTTTATATCATACAATAACAGTCTTATGATGAGGGCAAGTGCCTCACTTACTTGAGCCTTGCGTGTAGGATTGACAAGCGAACGTTTCACCCGCTCAGTGGTTTCGAGTTGATGCTCAACGTTAACGGCGTGGCTCACGTTTTGCGGGTGATGCGGTAAACGTTCGCCCACTGCTTTCCTGGTGTCCGCTGAACAATGAGTCAACATGCGTGCAAAACATCTGCTCAGTTTCTATCTTGGCACCACATTTACAGGTAACCGAAATGAGCATGCAAAATGTGGTCGCACAAACGATTGTACTCTTTTATAAAGAAATTGCTCATGATTTAGACATAACGCACCAGATAAGAAACTTGTTGACTCCATACAGTATGACCTACGCACTGTTCGCAAGGGGTAATAACTAACTAGACGGACTCATTCTTCTTACTAAACATGACGTGCAAGACGGGGGGTTGCTAGTGATGTGTTTGCCTTTGGGCCGTTCCAGAAAGCGTATGGAGCTCAGGGAGCCAAGCCAATTTCGCACCTTTAACAATTGCTGAAGTCAGCAGTGGTCCCAGGAACTTTATATCGTCGCAAATAGCAGGCCTGGTGGCCTAGGGACGCAGAAGGGAGGCCAGGATTCATCAAGCGTCTTTCTATGTGCCTGGTCTATTCTAGGAAAATCTGGTCTGTCCCCCCAGTTCTACTCTACAAGGGTTGCTCGATAGCAAATAGGATTGACGAATTGATTTCTAACCTTTTCTAGATCTGGCTCGGAAGCGGGAGCCGGAGATGGGGACCTCTTACTACCAGCCTTTTCCCACCTCTGAGTTGGCTTTTCGTGAGCTAGAATTGACACCGCTATACTGCCGCATAGCAAGTCCCCCTTATGCAATAATCTTCCCTAACGAGCACCTTACTTCAGATTGGGCATAAAATGACCAAAAACTTATCAGCAGTGACAATGAGCTGTTTCATTGGTTTACTAGAGACGCCATCTGTAATTATCAGTCAAGTTTTGTACAAATACATCTGGATTCAGACATGTTGCCAAGGGTTGCGTTGTGTGCAAAGGGAAGGCCGCATCTGGGAAATATGTGGGCAGCTCCGGGCGTGGTCGTAAAGACAATCGGAAGAGTCTCGGCTGATCATACCTAGGGCTAGAGATGATATCCATAATTTGTCTACGCACCCAGTACAGATCGTATCTGCCATATGTGGTGGAAGACAGGTAGAACAGATGCTCCTCGATTGTCTCACCCGTGAGCTGATCTAGCTCCGTGAGGCGTATCTCCACCCAATGCAGTAGCCTCGCTGGAACAAATGCCGACATAAGATCTGGGCCCGGCCAGTTGAAGGCTACTTGTGGATTCTCCGGGTCAGGAAAAAGAAGGCAGTCCACCGAAGGTGGTATCGAGCTACTAGAGTCAATACGTTGGCCTCCGATAGTTGAATCTAGCAAAATACCATCACATTCAGTGGCCAGGAGGGGCGGCGTTGCTGGGATGTCGGATGAGGTGGACCAAAACTCGTGAAGGCCAATATAGTCTAGACTGTGATGAGCTTGGAACATCACGTTGTGGTGCAATGCTTGGGCATACCTTTATCGTCAATGTTCATGTTCTGCTCTCATGGTCTTTGACAACCAAGTTGATAGTCTTCCCAGAAATTAACAAGGAGGCGTAGTATGAGCGACTGGAGACTGGGGAAGCCCTTTATATAATTGAGAGCCTAGATCAGACGGTCAGGGATGATAGACTGTTACTTTCGAAGTAGTAAAAGTGCCTTTACCTAGAGCCTTGAAGCCACTTTTCTTTCCTCTTGATGTCATACTGCCTAGATTGGTATACAATGTTTTGATATCTGGGTCATTTCCATTGACCAACGATTCCCTGTTAACTAGCACTGGTGAGCGTTGGGATTGAATCTAAAACAAAAAGTATGTGGTAAAGTCGAAAGTTTTAATGTCACAACGCCCGGGTTTAGAAAAGAATGTTGAAACGTTTAACATGAACATCGACATCAACACCAACATTAACATCAACATCAATATTAACATCAACATCAAGTCAACATCAAACCTGAGCCTTTTTCAACGCCGTTGAACCCGTTGGGCCCCGGTGTGGTAGGAGGGAGTGAGGTGTTTAGGTTGTGAGATTGTGAAGAGAAGAAATTTCACAGATCTCGCCACAGTTCATAGTGTCCGCATTTTCTCGGTTCAGGTACGGTAAATTTACTGGTCAAACATCTCTTCACTTTTGGTGACCTAGGACGAGTCTGCCCCGTTCTTGCCAAAGAGACAAGACTAACATATATAAACGGACATCCAACCCTCTATTTTCTCGATTCTCATCAATTTTGCTTTCGTTCTTCTAAAGATCAAAGGAAATGCACTTCTCAATCTTTGTCCTTCTCGCCAGCGCCTACGCGAACATCTCCTTCGGCGGCAGTGTTGAGGTTTTTGATTCCGATGGTCAATGCATAATATGGTCTAATGATAACCATGGTTGCACGGGACATTCTGCACCTTTTGCTAAACTGGATGGACAGGACTGTTCAAGTAAGGAATTATCTGGAACTAGGATTGACATCATTCTAACGAGCGTCTAGAATTGGGCAAAGTGAATGGTACCCGTCAGGACCACACTTGGCTTTATGTGTATGCTTGTGGCACGGAAAATGGTGCGCCAGCTGCACTGATTAAGGTGGAGCAGACTGGCCTGGTCACCTTTGCCAATCAGAATGGAGATAAGTCGGCATGTGCATTGAACAATGGGCTGAGGATTGGCAGCCAATGCACTCCTTCAGACTCTCGGTCTCCCTCAAATTCAGGCCCAGCTCCCATTTTATCTCCAGCTTCGTCGTCGATTCCTAACCCATCCTCGACTTCCTCGTTGGCGGTATCCACTTGTGGTTGCTTCCCAAACTGAATCAATGTTGCGGATTTGGTACAACAGACATTACTCTTGGAACGGATTGGGCATATTTTTCACTTCTGTGCTGTACCGACCCATTGAAATTCTAATATATCTTCCAGTGTCTTTCCCCTCTGGCAAGATATTTTGTGTCAATGCTCTGACTATAGCAAGTAAAATAAACCAGATATATTCAATTTTTACAGCACGGAAGGGCGATATGAGCTTACCAGTCATAGCAGGGCAGAGTAGATCCCACCTTACGCTTCTCCGGCCACTCTTCTACACAACCCAGATGAGCTAACATCACACCTGGTACCGTTTGTGAGGCAGGACCATGCGCTCGGCCGCCTAGTCTTCAGCATCAGCATTGGCTTTGATATTGAATTTCGATTGTGTGGCTCGTTGAGACGTTGAAATTCATCATGGAACGTTGTTGGTATATAGCCATGAGGCTGTGGTGTATCGGATGATTCTTTCCTGTGACTCGGGAGGAGTGTCTGGTGATGCTCCCGTGGCAAGCGATCTCCAGTTCTTGAGTCATGATTGGAGGTTGATCGCCAGCGCTAACCGTCGGCTGTCAGGCAATGTATACTCCGTAGTCACCGCCAAAAATTTCGCCTGACGAATGTCCAGTCGATATCGGTAAAGGGAAGGGCGAACTTTGGGGCTGGCGTCTAAGCCGACCACATGAAAATGGAAAAAAGGGTTTATACAGCCTTATAATAAAGGTAAAGGACTCTCGATCATGGCTTGGTCAGTAATATTCGATAGTGGCTGTTCTGATATCTTTGTGATGAATCGGGATTTAACTTCGAAACGGGGTGGATATAGCCAAACCTCCAATATCGAGTCCCTCGAATCGGAACTACCATTTTTATATATGGAACCGGCTATTTATGCAGGATAATGCCCGGATCCATACAGCTCGAAAAGTTAAGGCGTGGTTCGAAGTTCATAGTACAGTCAACTCTCGTGGGCTGCACGCCCGTGAGTTGCACACATTTGTCAGCTACACACTTTTTTCCGGCAGGACTAGTTTTGCCCAACGTTTACATATAAAACTCTCGCGGGCTGCACCATTCATGGTCTGCATACTTTTCACTTCCCCCAAAATTCGCTTACTCATCATATCTGGCCAATCACAATGCAAGATTCTACCTCGCCGTCACCATCGCTACCTCCCGCCCCTTCGGTGCGATCTTCGGTCATCCTTTCAGCGAAATTACCCTATGTAAAGCGATCAAATGCGACCATCTCTGATGCTCAGAGGAAAGCCCTGCGTATCTTTGCATCTGAGACACATCCCAAACCTACCCAGAAAGCTTGTGCTGCATGGTTTCATGAGAAATTTGGCCGTATAATCGATCGCACGACAGTTTCTCGAACCCTTTCATCTCAGTATAGCTACCTGGATAACGGCGAAGCTGGGACTAAATCGGGAAAGTCTACTGCACACTGGCCGCTGTTGGATGAGGCTTTATTCCAGTGGCAACAACGACACACAGAGAAGGGGTTTCCTATAACAGGGCCCTTGATTCGTCTTAAGGCTGAAGAATATTGGAAGAAGATACCGATGTACCAAGATCAGACTATGCCTGCATTTAGCGATGGCTGGTTAACCGGCTTTAAACGTCGATATTCTATTAGATGGCATACCTTTCATGGTGAGGCTGCCTCAGTCCCGGACTCGATACATCATGAGATGAAAGCGATCCAGGTTATCTGCGATGAATATGCGCCTGAGGATATCTATAATATGGATGAGACTGGCCTTTACTGGCGTCGTATGCCTAATGGTGGGCTTGCATCTGAAGGTCGTCCTGGCCAGAAAAGAGACAAGACGAGGATAACTATCGTCGTCGCATCAAATACGACCGGTTCGGATCGATTACCTCTCTGGATTATTGGAACTGCAAAGACACCTCACGCATTAAGGGGTGTGAATATGGCTTCTATTGGATGTAAGTGGCGCTATAATAAGAAGGCTTGGATGCGACACGAAATTATGGAACAATGGTTACGCACTTTTTACCTACGGATCGGTAGGCAGAGACGTGTACTTCTATTGATGGATAATTTCAGTGCACACCTTATGGCTCTTAAAAAGGCGCTACCGCCGTCTAATATCCGGATAGTCTTCTTCCCAGCGAACGCTACATCTATCTACCAGCCCTTAGATCAGGGTATTATCCAAAACCTTAAGCATTACTATCGCAAGAGCTGGATGTATTGGATGATAAGTATGCTAGATCGTGGCATCGATCCACGTGAACGTATGAGTCTGAACTACACGCTACGGTGGTTAACGCAAGCGTGGCGAACAAAGGTCACCAACGAGACTATTCAGAACTGTTATATTAAGAGTACTGTTGTTCCTGGGTGCCGACTATCTCGTCAAGATCAGGCTGATCAAGACCAGACAGAAAGTAACCTACTGGACCCTGAATTAAAGCCTCTTTATAATCAGGTTGTTGAGAAGCTTGCGTTTCAACCGGATGCGGATGAAATACTACCATTCGATGAGTTTCTCAACCCATCAGATGAAAATGTTGATACTACGGAGCCAGAGTTAGACGACATCATCATCAACTTGGGTGGTGAGGATATCGACGATGATCTACCTGATCCTGACGAGGAATATATATTTGGGCCAAAACCAGAGGTACCGTCCGACACGGTAATTCTACGACACCTATCAGATCTATCACTATGGGCTGCACATAGAGAGGGATGCACAGAGGAGCATATGTCGTCAATCGAGGCTTTATCCAAAGCTTTCAAGAAGCTTGAGGTGGATGGGAAGAGAGAGAAGACACTGATGGAGATGGGATTTAAACCTAAATAGGAAAAGCTTCATGTATATATTATATAATCGGGCCACGATCCTCTCATTAGCTGCACACATTGGCTGTGTGCAAGATAAAATCCAAGCCCCAGAGGGTGTGCAGCCCACGAGAGTTGACTGTAGTAAATTTACTGCCCACTTTCAGACTTCTTCCATCTGATGCCGGGTAAGCACCGTTCCTCCACGTTTTACGGGGAAGAAAAATCTGTCAAATGTGGAGCCAATCCTATGAGTAGCCTCAGAGGGGCCTCAGGGAGTTACCAAGTTCTTTCAGTATGGATCATGCCATTTTTTCTAGCATATTCGAGCGGCACCTCCTCAGCAGCTTCGAGTATCTGTGACATAGCGATCTGCTATGTAACTCCTTGATCACGGATCCTCTCCAGCTTGGATGAAGGGGGCTGAGGCGCCATTTCTGGAAGGAATGTGGAAAGGAAGCGGCCGATGTACCGTACAGAAACCATTTTCTCTATGCTCATCATGCTTACCCCACTGCCCAGGAAGCGGATGAAATAATTTTTGTCGAAGGTCTTGGGTGGGGGCACTAGGGTATTAGGAGCTGTACGTGATTACAAGACCCTTTGATTCCTAGGAACATGGTGGTACCTTGGCCATCTGAAAACTGCGGTCGCTGATCAATGCTAACATGCAGCGCTGGACGGTTCTATTCAACCTTGGAGTGGCGAATCTTGCACCTGGTTCCCCCAATCCTCCAGTTGGCTATAATGGTGGCCCAATATTTACGGAGGGTTTCAACTCCGAAGCTTATTGTATCACTGGTGAGGCCAGCATAAATACCTCTACCTATTGAACAAAGTACTAAAGAGTGTTCTCTGGCTAGTCAGAATATGATGAGGGAAAATGAGTACGTTCAGGATGAAGCAAATGTTATCCATACCCTAGACAAGGGATTGTCTTTCGAAAGGCGAGGAATATAACACGACCGGACGAACAACCTATGGCTATTGTTGTCGCAGATACAGTATAGCAAATAAAGAGGGATTACACAGTCGATACTATGCAGGAAATCACAACAGGTTGAGCCCATTATAGCACGCAGGCCAAGCATTTCGGCCGGCCATGCTCCGCTTCAGGTCACTTGCATCCTTCTGGTCGTCTTAGAAGAGCTCCTATGATATCCTGGACTCCCTGGAGCTCACAAGCATGCTCCTGGGAGGGCCGCGTAGGAGCTCCTTGGGCCACATAGACGATAAAATCGGTTCAAATTAGCGTATCTCATATAAGTAGCGTTGTCGCATCCTGCCTTTCCTTTCCAGATATTTCAATCTGTGAACAGATGCTTCCTCCAAGAAGTCAATAAGCAACAGAAACTGCTTAGAAATAGTTGAGGGTAAATCCAATTAATTCGCCATTGTGGTTAGTTACACTGGATTCTTATTCTAAAAGTCTTGGGCTCAGTTGGATATGCTGCAGCTGCAGTGACTAGTAGACAACTGGCCAATCTAACCCATCATATGTTCGACAGATTCTATCTCTGTCGGGATATATCCTTCTCTGAGGGACATCATCCCGTGCTTGGTGCACGCATTCTTGCGCCAGGCTACGGCTCCGGTGTTATGACCGCCGAGGGCCGGCGTGTAGGATCCAGGGGTGTTTTGCAACCAGACTAACTATCTACATCTATCTACATGAATCAATTGACTTTTACTTTTCGAGCATACATGCTGTCCACTTAACTGTGTACACAGTACCTAGCTGGTGATACCAACAATCTCAAGATGGAGTCTCAGTCCCTACAGTAGCGCTGACCCCTACACAGTAGCTATATTCCCTTCCCAGGTGCAATTTTTTTATATTCATGTTTTCTGTTACAATAGTGCACTCATTCGGTCATACTGAATAGATTCCGTTTGATCTCAGAGATTAGAATTTCAGAGGAGCTGATAAACTTTAGCTTGCCGAGGTACAAAAATGCGACCAAGAACACTATATCGCAGTCGGAATTGTTACCAGAAAAGCGCTTCTCGAATGATTAGACTACCACCACGGTCCGATTCAGAGTCTCCAAGTAGGGGAAAGGGCCAGCCTTAGATTGATTAGCAACTTAACACCAGAAGGCACGTGTTTATATTAGGTTTCATTTACACCAACAAGCGCCGCATGGGCAACATTGATCTGAGCATCACCAGCTGCGATTAAGTTAGGAAGCGTGACCGTAAAGTTCTGATAGGGAGGCTGGTCCGATTCGTGGTACTGCGGGTCGAAAGGGCCCTGGTAAAGAATAGTACCCATGACCTCGCCTGCAGGTTGACAAGGAGTAGATGCACAGGAGGAAACTCCAATTATAACAGCAATCTCTGTAGACCCAGTCAAGGAGTTCTGATAGACACGTTAGATTAATTTCGCTTTTCTCTTTCACGTTTTCAGAAGCGTAACATACAGGGCGCTGAACCTGGACGGTCACGTTGCCGCCTTTGGTGATCATATAGCCAGCGGTGGGAAGGCCGATGATGGAATTCTGGGCCAAAGAGACACTAGCTAGCACGACTAGAGAAATGATGGATTTCATGACGTTGGCTTGAGTGCGTGACAGTGGTTTGATGATCAGAGGTAGAAACATATAAATTTACGATGGGTCGATATGAATACCAGGTGTGAATGTGGGATATCTATTATACTAGAGAGAGCTTCAAAGACCCGTCTGATTTGGAGAGCGTTGAAAAGTTTGCTCGAACAGCGACCACGATGCAGCCTTTGGGACTCGCTAAGGCTTAGGAAGACTGCTGGAAATCGATAGGTCATGCTCCCTTGGAGTTTAAGTTAGTTAACTCACTAGCTCGAGTCAACAGAACTGAATTCGACTATTTCAACGTTCTGACTCATTTTTCATTGGACTTTCACGTGGACATACACAAAGTCTTCACAAGAGAATATCAAGCCGTGCAACTTTATCGTATCGGGTGAGATAGTGAGGTGGTGAGGTGCGAGTTTACCCACAACGGTGACAACCGGGGCATTTCAACGTTTATTTTTCGATACGTAAAGCTCAGCGGTGAGCTCCATTAATATTCTAAAGCCTTCTTGTGCGAGGAACCGCTAATGCAATGAACGAAACCAATGGTCGCTGGGGTCATCTGCAGGAGCGAACGTCGGTTTTGTGCGAAACGATGAACCGTCGCGTGGCGAATAGCCGAAATTGAATGTCGCCAGCCTTAGATATCGCTGACAGATGGACCTGAAGATTCCACTTGCCGTCTGCGTCGGTGTCGATTCAGAAATTGAAACAGCTTGTGCAGCTCTAACGCCTCAGGGCATGTCCACCCGTTTTGCAGAGATTCCGGGAGGAAATAACGCCGGAGATACAAAAACGCACGATATTCGAGACGCCGCCGGATTGACTGAAGAATCGTATGCCGCGCCGGAAACGGAACCCCCGCCGGTATCCCGAGGAGAGAATATAATATAATGCGTAGAGTACTTCTGGTCAACCAGTCAGCCAAAAGACGTTGGCATCATCCGAATTTGTGTTCTCACCGGACACTGATTTTTCTTGCAGGGAACATCTGAGTGGAGTTCTGTAATTCCCGGAGGATTTCCGCTAAAACGGCTGCGGATGTTCAACAATCCAGGAGGCCAGATATTAGCTTGTGAGAAAAGAAAAAGCAGACAATGATGAGGTGACGTTAAAACCTGATGTAGTGATCTTTAAAATCTTAATTTTGCTGTCTCTAGTATAGCGGTGATAGGAAGGGGGGCTCCCAGAACACAAAAGAACTTATTTTTAAGGGATACGACATTTGGAAGGCATACCCCGAGACAAGGGCGACACTCCCGGCTGTTGAAGATTTGTGAGGAATATAATTAGCCAAAGGGCTGGGGGTTCTTCCTTACTCCGAGGAACTGAATACGATTGTGATCTAACGCGTTGCCCGAAAGTCAACGCCATCAGAGAGGGTGCTGATGTCTCAATCTCAACATTGACCATCAAATCCATGACCCAAACAATTACTCACATTGCTGTGCATGTAGTAATTTACTGGAGTTGGTTCCTGCCAAAGATCTCCGTCGGCACTCTGTTGCTAAAATGATTCATTTTCTGACAAGACTCATACACTGATGGAAAGCATGTCCGCAAGTTTCATGGTCTCAAAAGAACCAAAAGTTTACTTCAGCAGTCACTGTCTCAGTGACAGATATAAAGCGAGCTTCTGCACTCTTCACTTGTCTCTCAGCAAACCCCTGAACGTTTTTGCAGACGAGAGACTTCTTTTTGGAAAACCTCCCATAACCCAGACCCACAGAATGCCCAACCTGAAACAGATTCCCCGAGAAATTTTCGATCTTATAGTGGAAGGGCTCAGCCCTAATTCGACCAAGAATATCGCAGATGCCCTTCTATTCAGTGAAAAGCAAGAAAACATACTTTGGAGAGTGATATTCAAGAACGATAAATGGATCGACGAAGCGTTCAAACTAGGGGCCTGCCCCGCGCTTATTGGCCCAAAGTTAGATTTGATTGGGATGCCCAACTACAAAGGCTCCCATCGCCATCACATTCTTCTATCGACAAACGATTATTCGGGTGACCTTCAATACTCTCAGAAACTTTTATTTGAGTCTCTTAGAGAAGGGTATCATTACGATGAAACCAAGTTTAAAGTCACCCTTCCGGAAACCAACTTTATAAGCCCTGATAAGCGGAAGATGAAGATCCCAGAAATTGTACTTCATGTGAAAGATGCTATCAAGCCCTGGGAAACTATCCGCCTCTCGAGGAGAGCCATTCGAAGATTATTTGAAAAGATCGTCGTACGAACACAGTACTCTTTTGCGAGGCAAAAGAAAGTCTGCAGTCTACAAAGTCCATACATTTATGGAATGGGAGGAAGCATTTCCAAGCCAGAGGCACTTCTTCCGATATGTGGCATGCATCCCGTTTGCTGCGGGAAAGAATGGGTGACCATTTTGGTTGCACCCAAATGCCCCCCCGTGAGTCCAATTCACAGTGACGGGAAGAGAGGTCGCATCGTCGGCTGGGAACCCAGATTTTAGTACGAGTAGGGTGGCCAGTCAGGCGCCATTAAAGGTCCACACTTAGTCGAATACATCAGATCGGATGCATGCGTCTTGATTTGGCGATACGATGCAGCAATTTTCTTTTCCCATTGTTCAGTTAGGATTTCTTGGCGAGCGACCGGCCAGCAACAGGATACAGCATTTTGATACAGGCTCCGTAATGAGAGTTCATTGAGCGTAAACCCAGAATGTTGATTAAGGCAGACGCAATAGTAAACATGAAATAACACTACTTGTATTCCTCTGAATCTCAGTTCGCTTTCGCGCTCCTCTCCGCATTATTTCCCCGCGATCCGGTCACAAAGCCGCCACAAGCTCCGCGTGACTGTCGTGTAGTTGTCTGACTTGACAGAAAAGTGGCAGAGGTCCTCATGGCTCCCCATTAGCCGAACGCGAGTCTCCCGGTTACCTGGCAGATTCAGTGCCACAGATCTGAAAGGCACGGTCTAACAATGAAGAATTCAGCCGCTCACGCTCAAATACAATATACCGCATTCGGGGCACCAATGTGTCATTAATGCTAGAATCTCTTACCTCGTCATTGTTACAGTAGAAAGAAATGTAGAGAAAATCTTCGAGATGGTGGCGGAAATCACTAGAGAGTGTAGGAGGAATTTGTAGTCCGGGAGCAGATTTTGATCTTGCATCGCTGCAGAATCGCCTCTCAAAGAGTCCCTTGTGCGATCCATTTCGCAATTCTGATTCCTGTGAGTGAGGTGTTCCAAAAAAGGCCAGCCCCTTCCTGGTATGGTCAGCGTGTGCATGGAATCTCTTGTTGATTCTAAAACTTACGTCCATTGCTTCACTTGGCAAGAATCAGAGCTTAAACAAGCGTTAACCAAAGGCTGTCATCCAGATCAGTTGTGGGACTGAGAGGCGATCATTTCTCTTGCCGCCTACCTGTTTGATCAGCAGCCCTCCCAAACCCTGACCCAAGAATACTATCGGGTTGTTGCTAGCCTGTTCAATTAGCTCGCAATCCCCTCCATCTCATTCGTAAGTCACACACCTCTTGGGACCTGTTCCTGCAAATTTGCTCTAACAAGGAATCTGCCTCGTTGGACAGCCCGTCGGCACTGGCGCAGAAAGTATTCGTGGAATCGAACGTGAAACTTTGTGCCCGATATAAACTGTTTGCAACATTACCATGAACACGCAGTGAGAAAGCTCTGCTGCATTCAGGATTAAGCCCTTGACGAGATGGAGTATATCTTCATATGTTAGTTGTTGGCCCACGACACTGAGTCATAGACTGAAGGCGCTGGTCACCGTTCACCAGTTTCAACGCTCATACCCACCGACAATGGCCGTCCACGTATTGGAATTTGGACCGGTGTGTCTGGCAAAGTATTGGACTGATCGTTGAGTCCGCGTTGAAGCTTGAACAGAAAGAATAGGTAAACGTCGAAGACTAAGCATCTTATTGATGATGGTTGAACAGCCTCCTCAGGGTCCTAATATGGAACCCCCGTTGAATGCATGTTCATCTGTCAACTTTTTCTGAATGCTGCAGTCTCCACAGACTCAACATCACGAGTTCAACATAGCTTAATTATCACGGCGACCAACTAAAATTGACATTCCAACTGTGGCTCAAATAAGTGGAAGTTGACGAAAAACATTTGTGTAGCGGCCCTTAGATTTGGGCAGCTGCACTGACGATTATATTTCGACGGTTGCCACTCCCAATAGCAGACGCGCTAGTGTCAAACAAGGCACAGGACAAGACAGGCCGACAAGCCTATAAATACCCCCTACTACGCATAGTCCTTTTGCTCTTCTAGTTAACTGCGTGACTCTTCCAAGCCCGACGATGCTTTTTCATTTGGAGCCAGAAGCTCGGCCTCTACCAAACGGTCTGGAATAGAAAGTTCCAGACACTCCCGGCGGTCCCCTAATAAGTTCTCCCCTATTAATCAACCTCTGGTTCTTCCACAGGACTGACAAACGCATAGCACGTCGTTGATTCATGTGAGTCACGTAGTGCCTGTGACCACCCCGTGCGAGGTACCATACCATCCTTCTCTTGACCGTCGGTCCCGTTCAAGTCTTGCGTTGTCCCGCAACTGTTCAAACTCAATGGAAAGAATCCGGGCCCCTGGACATAATACTGATCGCTGGGGATCTCCTGGATGCCCAATCGATTTGAACCGTCGCTTGAGACCTGCCTTCCTTTTCAGTGCAAAACCGGGACCAGCCATGGCGCAGGTATGTGCGTCGTTCCCTGATCTTGCCTGATGCCAACCTCGCGGAATCTGGGCATTGCCTAGAACCGCGTGCGTATGGCCCGAGTAGATAAGTGCAATGTGCGATAGTCTGTCAACAGTTGAGGCCATCAAGGCAAGTCATGGATCACCACTCCAAAGAACTAGCTAACCTCTGGCAGCGAGTCATGACAGCGAGTAGGGGTGGAATCGAATAGGGATTTCTTCTATTCGTATTCGAAAAGATCCTTGTATGGTCTTATTCGAATCCGAAATTATTTAGGGAGTGATTATTCGTATTCGATATTCGAATATTCGAAAAATATTCAACGTTCTTGGCAGAAATTCGATCGCGTGAAATGATTGGTTAACGCACCAATGAATCCCGCGCGACTTAGCGTGGTTTCGTCGCGTGCTCTTTGTTTACCTAAATATCCTCTTTATTTCTGACATGATGATTTGAGATATTCAAGCTTCTACATCTTATTGAATGAGTGACAGCTGTATTTATTCATCACCTACAATGGATGATACCTCTCCTTACGTTTCGAGACGATCTCAACGATCTCAGAGGATAGATTACCATCTCTTGAATGACGGAAGCGACGATGAAGTGCCTACAGAAGACCGTATCTTCAAAAGACCTCGTTTAAATGAGCCAAAAGTAAGCCCGGAGCCTATAACGCCGGATGACTCAGTGAGCCAGTTGGATCAAAACCGAAGCTCGCCTGTGGAATCACTTCAGCAGAATGAGTTTTCTGAATGGGGATCATCTGAAATATCCCAGCGTTCTACTCCATCCTTACCTCGCGGCAGACCACAGAATGATTCGCTATGGACCCAGTTTATCGTGTCTCCACTCCCGGGGAAACTCTGGTCACGGAAAGGGGCCAAGAGACCCGCTGAGGATCGAAAAATTCAATGCAAAAGATGTAACTGGCAAACTTGTGACTCTGCGAGGGCAACATCGACTTCTAACATGAAGATTCATCTTGCTAAGCATGGGGTTTTTCTCAACGATACTGCCAATGCCGAGAATGGTGGTGGAATGACGCAGCAATCCATAAGTAGCCTCTTCCGGAAACGGGCAGAGACAGAAACGTCACAAAGACTGGAGCAAAACTTGTTACGATGGACAGTCTTGGACAACATGGCTTTTACGGCAATCGAGTCCCCGGCATTTCAGCAAATCTTCAGAGACATTCCAGGCATCACGCTGCCGTTTACATGCCGCAAAGCTGTCGCTAGTCGAATCGACGCTGAATTCGTTTCATTTCGAGGGCAACTTCTTAGTTTGCTGGCTACTACCTGTCAAACCATTGCATTGTCACTGGATGTGTGGACAAGTAAGAATTCAAAGCCGATATTAGGGGTAATTGGTCACTGGTTAGATAGTGATTTTCACTATCAAGAACGAGTACTTGAATTTGCCGAAATGCATGGCGCACATACGGGAGAAAATATGGCGGACCTACTCGGCTCAACGCTTGAGGAGCTGGGAATTGAACACAAAATCCTCACCATCACTGCCGATAATGCCACCAATAACGAATCGTTGATGTCAGAACTATATTTCAATTTGAAAGAGAAATTTCTCGGCGTTGGGGAGACAGACGCCTTTCATTTCCAGGGTGCTGATAGCTATATCCGCTGCCTGGCCCATGTCCTCAATCTCATTGTTAGTGATATACTCTCCGCTCTGAAATCCGGTGATCACAAAACGGCTGTTACTGCATGCGATCTTATGCAAGAGAACAAAGACATTGGGATGCACTCTGTCCTATCCCGCCTTCGAATCATGAGTCTCTGGATAGCAAGAACACCACAGAGAAAACAGCAGTGGAAGTTAATTTGTCAGACAAATCGGCTAAATGACAAGTTTATCGAGTATGATGTTGATACCAGGTGGAATTCGACATTTCGAATGATTAGGGACGCCTTACAAGCAAAGCAACAGATCAAAAAATGGATCGATAGTCAAACCTACCTTCCGCCATTTACGACTGAGGACTGGGCGTGTCTCCATCAAATTGAATCCATTCTTGCAAAGTTTGAGGAGTTCACGCTCACCGTTTCCAAGCGCCAGCCCCAGATCAGCCTTGCAATACCTATTTACTACGAACTTCACGACATACTGAATGATGCCGCCTCTAGAGAAGGAGAATTTTCTGGGCTTCGCGCAGATATTGCTTCTGCCGTATCCTCCGGGCTGAACAAGTTCAAAAAGTACTACGACCTCATGGATGGGCAAGATGCCTACTACGTGGCTCAAGTCCTCGACCCACGATTCAAGACATTATTGTTGGAAAAAGAGCTAGGGAAAGTCAGCGCACACAAGGTTATAAAACATATAAAGGAGCTACTCCATGAGCAGTATCCATCGCCTCGGGTAGAGTCCACTGTCACAAGCAGCCCAGACGAGCCAGCAGCAAGATCGATAGAGGCCCGAATTCTTCAGAAACTGCAACCGCCGAAACTGCAACTCTCCGATGTTGACAGGTATTTTGAAGATGGAGTAGTGATAGCTCAGGATCCAGTGATACAGGACAAGGACTGGTTATTTTCTTGGTGGAGGGATCACTGTCACGAGTACCCACACGTTGCCGCGGCCGCCAGGGACTATTTAGCAATTCCAGCATCAGAGGTAGCAGTGGAGAGACTCTTCAATAGTGGGAGGGATTTGCTAGGCTTGCGAAGGCACTCCTTGCATGGGGAAACAATGAGACGGCTGGTGTTGTTGAGGGATATATATAAATCTGAGGGTTTAATGGTGGGCACGTGCTAAATTTTCGAATATGTCGAATAATTTTCGAATAGATGGATTTTTATTCGAAAAGATATTAGTCAGCCGGAATTTATTGATTATTCGTATTCGAAATTATAATTCTTTTCGAATATTCGACTATTCGATATTCGATTCCACCCCTAGGTGAGCGTGGGATGTGATCGGTAAATTGAAGAAAAAGGCAACGCGCTAAGGTCATCGGGAGCTTCGAGACAGGTGAGCTGGATAAGCTTTAAAGGTATGTTGTGCCCCTTGAGAGCAGCCAGGACCAGTTGGACATGGTGTCCATAAGACGTCTGCTGTACCATATGATACACCTGTAGGTAATAGCTCTCCCAATCATCGTCGCCCAGTGTTTGACAAAATACCAAAATCAATTCGTTTAAGTGAGGAAGTAACTTGAAGGCAAGGCTCATCAAGTTCGAAGCCCTTCCCGTTTCTAGGATCACTTGTTGCTCGACACAAGTCCGTCGTAGTGTCTTATAGACACCTGTGTATGACGGGAAGTCGTCCCGGAAGCATTCCAGTTCCTCCCAGTCTTCACAAGTGGACATGACATCAACTCCTCGCATGTATCGACATATTCGTTAGGAGTAAGGAATTGTGTTTTGAAGTAGCGATAATTTCGTATCTCTATATTTGAGGTCAGACTTTTCTATGATCGTTCGGAAGTGTCCTTACCTGGTTTTAGTAACATTGGGCAGATGTACTCCAAGGAGACGATATACTTATGCAAGTTTGATTTCAAACCGTTTTCCAATAAGTCAAATCCCTTTCTCGAGAATTCAATCGTGAGCTTGCGAAACAGGGAAGGTAGGCAGACGCCCCTCATTCGCCTGCTAGAAAGGGAAAGCTGTTTGACTTCCCCAATGTCGAGGCATTCAACGATACGGAAGACGATTTCTATAGGAAGTGATTCCATATTGCTTGACTGATCAATTTAAACTGTATCGGAATCTATCTGGAGGATGGGGAGGTGATACTCATGCGTACAAAATCAGCGGGCTTTGTGACCTTTCTATAGGCAAGGCTCCTCCTCTACAGCGCTTCGATGATTGGCTCCCAGAAAGAAGACTAATATTATTTACCGAAATCCCCAAAACCATATAGACCGCTTCCTGGTCCCATCAAGGACCAGAGAACTAATAACAAATCGCCGTCCTGATTCTGCCTCGGTGTGATTGGTTCATGAAGTAGACTAATCACATCTAACGATGTTAATTAGTTAATCATTTGTCTTTCATGGTCTGGAATCATTAAAGCATAGATGTTGTATGTTAGATTAATCTGTAAATAGTTCTTTTTATTTGTTGACTCACATACGAATTTTCTTCGTATTTTTTTCTTTTCTGAATTCATCAAATTCTCCTTATAGTATTAGAATACGTAAAAGGAGGATCTACTTAGTAATTCATCCTTCACTCATTCCAGCTAGTGGTTAAGTGGCTTGATTATGGGTTATCAAACCTGTTTCTCTTTAATTGTCAACCCGTTAAGTAATCAAGCGTGAAACGGATACTGTGATATTTATAGCACCGAGGTCACGGTGCCGAGCGAAAGTTAGCCAATAATAATGCACTCGTTAAGAAAAAGATTGAGAAACTCAACAAACAGATCGCCGAGGAACTTCAAATAGCGGGCTTCGTTGGATCTCGCCACGCTCCCACCCCCAAGGACCCTTGTCAATTAAGGGACCGGCATCAAAGGCGCAAGTCATCCATGAAACAGCGAGCAAGCCAGAAATTCACCGACCTCCGCCTAAAGCTGGCTCGAATAAACAAATTATTAGTTTCGACTCGTCAAGTGACTGTTCTCAATTTGCGAGGTACTGAGCAGGATGATCCGGACTTCTATCTCGTTATTTTGCCTCACGGAACGAGATCCTCGGATCTTGAAGTGTTGTCAACGAATCCCGGTACGTATAGCGGTATACCAATATTATACATTCTACTTACTTCGTCACAGTTGCATGCTTTTATGTTCAGGTCAATCAACATAGTAAGGTATTCTAGGACATATATTCCGCTATCTATTTAGTGGAACGAACTTCTCTCGAACTCCAAAAAAAGTTGCAGAAAGAGCCCAGGCTGATCCAAAACTCATCGCTTGTGTCATTTGGGAAAATAGAAACGGATTGGGGATCCTCGTTGAGGATGACGTGGTTAAGCATATTCCAGAGGGTTATATTATGACTGTAGAGTTTTGTGAAGCACCTGAGATGGGAATGGCCTCCTCGAGTGAAAAATCCTCAGCAGTGGAGGTCAAGCCCCCATTCTAAATATGTCGTGTCAAGTTAACGAGATCATAGGAAAATTTGTAGGAAAAACTGGCGGTACAAGCTGCTCTACGAGACAAGTGTGGTACAACAGGAAATGACAGAGGGGCTAAGTTCTCAATTCTGCTCAGCACCTTCCTAAGCATAAAACGAGATCAACCAGGTATCCCGCATAAAGCCTCGTTATGATATGGTCCCCCCTCCCGGGATTGGAGGTCAACCAAGGGTCGGCATATATGTCACAAGGTAGGTATTGGAATAAGCAGCCTTTGCTATCCAATACGACGGAGAGCTAGTATTAGTCCGCAACGGCGCCTTTGTTGCACCTAGGGCCTCTGGTACGGTTACAGTACCCGTGCCCAAGGCCTTCTGTCAAGATGCCTAATCTGAATTAGAGAAACTATTACGCAATATCCAAAATCCGAGTTGCTGTATGGGCTTGAAGGAGATACGGCATATATATATTAGGACCTGTATTGGTAGATCAGTTTTAGTTGCCCTTTCGGCTTAGCCGCCGCGCGTTAATGAATTGTGGGTGTGTGTGTGTGTGTGTGTGTACTGTAAAAGAAATCGTGCTGTATGATAATTTCGTGGTAATTGTATAGGTGACACGCGGTTCAGAATATTTATATAAGTGGGAATTTCCAATAGTAATCATTTTATTTTTACTCCGCGAATGCGTCTATTTCCTTGGACAATCCCACTGGCAAAGTTACATGAACTAAACAACGGAAGCCAACAATACATGAAATAATGGCAACGGGAACCAACCATATATCTGCCTGCAGATTCCAAATCTAGCGCAACTCCTCAATGCTCATCAACCATTTCTTGCCCTTCTCGGAGGTCTACTGATTAGATACAGACATCGAATCAGAGTTCTCAGTCGCGACTCCTTTCGGCGGAATGACCGGTGCTCCAGGCATTGGAGGAAGCTTCACAGGCTTGAATGTCGCCTCCTTGGAGAACTTGACATACCCGTTGAGATAGGCATGCGCGGATGTAACCCGTTTACCATCCTTATCCAGAAGAACCACGGATCCATGGTACGGGTCATTGCGGTTAGGCGTGGGGTGAGGGTTTCCACTATCCACGTTAGCTGAACTCATACTTCAATCCGAACGAGGGGAAGGAATACAACTGTCTTACTTTACCTGCGCGCTGACAACACGAGCCCTTAGCCCGGGAACTTCGTCGATGGAGCGCTCGATTTGCTGGATCAACCAGCTGACATCGACCGTTGTTCCATGGAGCGTCCAGTTAAGCTGCTTCAGCTGTCTGGCGGTGCTTGAGAATGCTCTCGAAGCCATGATGTTGCTTTTTAATAAAGATGTAAATAATGCAGAAGGTGATTCAATTTTGAAAATTGTTATGGGGCATGAAAGTGATCTGATACGTCTGTGGTGGTCCTGATGAGCTGTGCTATTCACCTCTCTTTTATAACTGCATCAGGAGGGATATAAATTAGTGTATAGTTCACCCTGGCTGTCTTTCCTCTTGGATTGCACGGAGCGCTTCTGAATCTATTGGCGGAAAGGTTACGGGATTGCTCAAGGAGTATTGCGCTCACGCAACATTGGGACTAAATATAGGTGCTCCTAATTACGGATGTTCGTTTATGTACAAACAACCCTTGACCCACTACATCGGTTGCATTGCCGCCCTCCCAAACCATCCATCTGCATGGTTTTCGGGTGTCAGCCGTCCGGTAGAACTAGATAACGATAGGGTACAATTCATGCTTATAACCGAGGCTCAGCTAAGGCCTGAAACAGTCTGCGTTGTAAGCGGGCGCGTACTCCTTGGAGCTAGATGAGTTTCCACCACGGCGCTAAAGTTGATGCGCTGTGTCCACCAGTGCCAATGCCAATAAAAAATAAGAAGAGTTACTGGTCACATACGTGCCGTTGGACTATACAGAAGCAGGAGAGACCTTTGGGTATGTCAATACGTTCTCCCAGATCGGAAGCGTCTGATGATCTCATTGGCTGACGGCTTGTTCCGTCATCCAAGGTCGTACCACGTGATCACGTTCACCAGTTACGACTCGCGAGTCGCGACTGGTAACTCGTGCCCAGGCTTCTTCTTGATCTTCTTCAACAACCACTGACATCACATTCTCCCGTCGGCTTGCGGGAAGTAACTCTGTAATGAACACTGTAAAGCCGTTCATTCCTCGTTTCTCCGCCTTGCTTCGCAAGAAACTGTTTCCAATGCCTTCTCCCGGGCCACCATTACCGCCCGGCATACTCGTTGATGAAGAGATCTCGCCAGTATACGATTCCAAGTACTTCTACCCAGCCAGGCCTGGAGAGGTACTCGCCAATCGTTACCAAACCTTGGTCAAAGTTGGCTGGGGCGTGTCTTCAACAGTATGGCTCGCGCGTGACCTGCAAGGGTAGCCTTCAATAATTTCTGTCCATTTCGAAGCTCTCTCTGTCTCTAACAAACATACAGGCATATCAAAGAGCCAGAGAGCGTCGTGGCACTAAAAATTGTCAATAACAATGCGAGTTTCGCTAGTCACGAGCGCGAAGTTGAAGAGCATATTTCCACGGCAGACCCATCACATCGCGGTCGGTCACTTATCCGAACATTACTAGACTCTTTCGAAGTTAAAGGCCCAGACGGTTCCTATCCATGCCTTGTGTATCCGCCTATGAGGGAGTCCTTGTCGACGTATCAGCGGCGCTTTGACGACAGAAAGATGCCACTGCCCCTCATTAAAACATACATTCGTGCTCTTCTTACAGGGCTCGACTATCTGCATGAAGTGTGCAGGACAGTTCATACAGGTGGGTTCATCTTCAGCTTTTATTCTCGTCCGTAATACTGAGCCCAAGTGGCTGCCTAGATCTAAAGCTCGAGAACATCATGGTCTCATTCGAGGATCCTACCGTGCTTGCAGATTTCATGGATTCTCAGCTTACAAAACCGATGGCTTTCAAAATTGACTCGGCGGGACGACCAGTGTATCAATCCCTTAATGACTTCGGGCCGCTCAAAAGCTTGAGAAGTATACCACAGCTTGTCGACTTTGGCTTGGCAACCAGACTCGAGGAAGACGACGACTGGGGCGTTTGGCCTATTCAGCCAGACCACTATCGGGCACCAGAGGTGATACTGGGTAATGGATGGCAAATGCCTGCGGATATTTGGAATCTTGGCGTTTTGGTGCGTTCCGTTGTTCTCCTGAGTTGTTGCATCCACTAATGCCCGACCAGTTGTGGGATATGATCGAAGGCAGAGAGCTATTCCAGCATATTCATGATCACGAAGGTCGCTACGATGCTAAACTACATATCGCCGAAATGATAGCCTTACTCGGTCCACCTCCTCCAGAGGTCATACAAAGGTATCAATATATGCGAGAGTACTCGTGGCCGAAACCTGTCAGACGAGAAGACGGCAGAGTATGCGAGACCGCGGAGGAGTATTTTTGTGGGCCATTCTTTGACGAAAAAGGTATTGCTATGGTTCCTATCTCGATCGGATTATTCTCAGACTCACAAAATATCTTAGGTCGATTCCTCTATGAAGCCCTGATCCCTGACCGCAAACTCTGTGACACACCTTCATTCCTGGGGGAAAGGAGAAGGAATTGTTTTTGGACCTCGCCAAGGAAATGCTTGTCTGGCATCCAGATGCGAGAAAAAAGGCTGGCGAACTGGCTGGGCACCCTTTTCTTCAACCAAAGTAAATAAGCGCCTAATTTCGAGTGTTCTGCTGAAGAATGAGGAGCTCGGATGAGGAGTCTTTGTGTCAAGGGCATATAATAATGGTTGTGAAGAATCCGATCAACTTCACAGGAAGAACGTTTTCGCTGGGTTTACCTCAACTTTATATGCACCGCCAAGAATGGTTCCGAGAATAATGTATATCACAGAAGTATACGAGCAAGGTACTTTTTGACGGTTCGAGATGAGCACTATGTGCCTATTGGTCGGACGCCTTGTTGGCGGTTCGGAATCGCATCCTGAACTCGTGCCACGACGCATCTATTGAATGCAGCCAAAACCGTACGATGTAATATTTCCGTTACTTGGACTCAAACCGCCAACTGACAGAATATCTCAACACTCAGTCATGGATAGTTGTCTGCAGGGCGGTTACCTTGTCGGTTGCGTATGCTTTGAGGTGATTTGGTATGATCCAGTATCTTAGGTGATAACGATTGAGAGTGCCTGGTCGAAGAAAGCCTGCGGGCCGATGGTCGTTACATCGGGCGGCTAAATCTGTATTTTGAAGTTGCCATGAGCGTGGATTGCGCCGACCCTTATGCCTTGCGGGCGTACAGCAGACAGAAGGGATATAAACAAAAAATAGGAGAATTTAGGTGCGGGGCTTGATAGAAGAGAGGAAATTCAGACTATTCCAACGAGTCTGCCGATATAAGTCAAAAGAGGGCGGCGGTCGTCCATATGAGTCCTTGGGATCCGGATCGACGCCCTCGGTTGAAAGTAGTAGCTGGAACACATCCCCGTGATCATATTCTGCTGCATACCATAGCGGCGACCTTCCGTTATTATCCCTGGAGTCTGGATTGACACCTTTTCTCGCGATCAGTAACTCTACCACTGCCAGCTTCCCAAACTGTGCTGCATGCGAAAGCGGCGTCTGTCCATTGGAGTCCCTGGAGTCCGGATTGACACCCTCCGTCGCGATCAGGAGCTCTGCTACTTCCAGCTGACCTCTTCTTGCTGCACGAGAAAGCGGCGTCTGTTCATTAGAATCTCTGGGGTCTGAATCGACCCCGTCCGTCCCGAGAAGTTGCTTGACTGTTGCTCCACGGCCTGTACTTGCTGCCATTTATAGTGGAGTCACCCCGTTAGAATCCTTGGATCACAGTAGAGCAGTGTACAATCAGAAACAAGGCCCATCGATTGCTATGGCCGCACACAATATCCAACGGACTATAAAAGACTATCTTCGTCGCCCGGCTTCTAATATCCATCGACTTTATTCTAGGATACTACTCTTAAGGAATGTCATCTGAGATTGACGTAACATCTTCAACAAATGTTTCTCGCAGCCTAGTTGGCGCAGATGTTTATTTCCTTCGCATCCGAACCTCCTCTGCTTAGCAACGGAAATGCGCTAGGAAGCAAAAGGTAGATTCAACTCTAACTGTCTGGTAGATTCGGTTAAGCGCGACCATAGCGGCCTCGACTTTTTTTATATATATTGTATATAAGAATAACCGTCAGCCAGAATGGTGAGCTAATGGCAAGGATTATAATATACAATAATTCCTCCTGGGCAGATGGGTGTATTATTCCGTCCTTACGGATTTTGGCCCGCTGCCGATAGAACAGTTCTTGTTCTTCTTTCATCCATACTTTAATTTTGTTTAATCGAGCATGTCCCAATTGCTGTGACTCGATGAACCTTTGATTTATCCTGCCAAGTTTCTCAGATTGATGTTCGATCCGCATAGCCATGTCTCGCTCCTTTCTTTGCTGTTTTTTGGTGAGAGCGATCTCATAATCATCTTTCTGCTTTCGGCGACCTTCTTCTGTTGCTTTGCGCTTTGGACGCCGGTTGAGCACTTTTTCTTGTTCGAGATCATAATCGTGTAGGACCCGGTCACGAAAAGATAACAGTGGTACTTCATTAAGCGGAACCATGACCACCAATGGCCCCTTAATTTGCATATATGTTTTGCAGATATGGTAATAAGGAGACCAAGGTATCTTTGCATTGAGCTATTAGCAGAGTATCGAGATATGTGTCCGTACCAAAGCACACCTGATATATTCCACGATCAGAGGCAGCTCCCTTAATGGCGAATTCGAGCATGTCACTCAGTTTCACTTTAGTATCTTCAAGATCCTTCAATCTCTCGTGATTTTGGATTTTGTGATGCGCCATAAGATTCCTGATATCCTTTGCCTTTCTCAACAATCGACGGAAGAGCTTTAGTTCGTCTTCACTCATAATTTTGGAGAGGTATCCGTTGGGTTCCTTCAGTTGAAGACGAAGAATTTCAACGGTAGCCGGTAGATCAGCGGCCTGGTGATATCGATATCCTTTCGTATTCAAACTGTCCTCGTCAATCAACTCACAAAGAATGTAGCCCAAGAACTCAAGCTCGTCAGTCCAAGTCGTTAACTGAGCTTGAATTTCAAAGTAAGTCTCTGGGCGTACTGACATCGTGATAGGTAAATTACTACACAGTGAAAGGAACCGCTACTATTCCAAAGCTTGACTTTATAGACCAGATGGGTACAGCTGGTGCTATTCTAGACAATGTGGTCGTCGTCACTTTTGGGGTAATGACGTCGACGATTGTGAGGCAGTGACGATGAGCAATGGCTACATAGCAACCCAAATTCGCTTCATAGTACGTACGTATGTAAAAGTACAGTGATATCAAGTTCTCCGATTATCCCGCCTGACAACATACGGAAATTTAAACCCCTTCACTTTGATCTATGACAACTTGCCGAGGATAAAGTGGGAAATCCTGGTCTAGCGGGAAGACATCCTAGTTAGACTAGTGCATTCCAGGTGTACAGCCTTGGAGGCTTTAGAGCGAGGGGTTGGAAGTAAAGCTTTGTTTGGAACAGAAGATTTGCCCTTTGCCATTGGTTTGTCCGAACCTCTACCACAAAATTCTATACAGCGCAAGCACAGCCTTCTGTGTGATGACTGGCGGACGTACAAAGATGCGCGAAGGTTGTGCTGCATGTGGAAAGAGCGATGGGAAATGGAGACGTCAGACTGATGGGAGCGGGCAGACCAGCTTGCCCGAAACTTAGTATCCAACGGTAATGCTGACAAGTCCGACACGAAAGCGTCAATGAATCAATAGAAATTCCCTAGTTTGATCACATGACTCCCGGTGGTTTAGAGTGGTAGTCTTCAGCCAAATTCATCATTAGTGATCAGTCATCGACAACCTTTGCCGGAGTGCCACAAGAAAACCAGACCACCTAATACGGCAGCGCTGACTACTCTGCAGGCTTGCAGGATCTGGACCCCTCATGCTGCCCAAATCGTAGAAAAGAAATGGAAGGAGCGCGCGAGCCGATTTTTCTCCCTCAGATCATGCCCGGTGCCTGAGGCAGAAGGCAGATGACGCAATCCCTACCAGTATGTCTGCTTAATGAATTGTGTGTGTGTGTACCAGTACGTACTGTATGACGCTACAGTACGATTAAATGAGTTATCGCTGATTGCGGTAATTCACTGCGGTAGCAAAAATCAACAACCTGAATTAGTACTTGACCTAACCATCAGAATTTGAATGGCTCGTCTTAGGGTGCATTAGGATGAATTCGCATAGACGATATAGATGGATTCCGGCTGAACGTTATGCCTATAGTCAACTGCTGTGAATTTGGTTGAATTCGGGTGGTTTGGCGTGAATGATTAGTTGGATTCTGGTAGTCTGTTCTGATAAACCTAGGTTGCCGATTTTGATGGGCTTAAGAGGGGCTGGAGTGTGAGTGTACTTGATAGGTTCATGGCTCAGTGAGGTTGACAGGTGTGATGAGGAGTTGATGATACGGGGAGCCTGTTCAACATAGACCGTCGGACGTCAAGGATAGGGAGTAACCGTGGCACTGACCACCCTACCCCTACCCGGTAGGGGTAGGGTGGTCAGTGCCACGGGTAAGCTCTGATGCTCCCGAGTGGAGCGCTGGGAAAAAAAGCGTGTTGAAATCACCACGTATATAACTTAAGCTTATCCTCCAGAATTGATTTAATCTAAATTTGAATTCATCAAATCTATCAAAAGCGACTACGTTCGTTGAAATGCCTGAAGTTGTCATAGTATCCTAAATGGGCCATCGAATCGGTCCAAAATTAACGACTTGATTTAACCGCTTAGTTCCGTCTCTAAACTTGGCCATTAAAACTCGAGTAGTCGATTGGTAAGGATTCTGGTGAATTCCGGACGATGAATATAGATTAATTCAGAGTGTCAACCTATAGGATCAATTACCCATTATTATGGTGAATCCGGCTCTTCTTTTATGATGGATCCATTTGGACCAATTACGTGAAACCCAACGGCTAATTTCGACAAATTCGGAGAGTCAATTTCGGTCAATACTGGACAGTGCGGACCTTCCTCGAATAGGTCCAGAGCAGCACATTTTAGCTAGTTCGTTATATCGAAATTCTTCACTCTTGGCCGCCGTGCATACTGTACAAAGACTATCAGGTTCTTCACAGCAATTTTCATTTACCTTTTAGCATAAAACTCCTCGAACGGCCGATTTGCCCGGAGCTCCTCTCATTCTTCTGGGATACTGCACAACGCGGTAAGGCAGGACTAAATTGATTCATCTTCTATTTGCAGATAACTGAAAAGAGCTCGACCAAGCAGAATGAAATGCATAAATAGCGCAGGCCCAATCCTGGTTGAGCTTCAACTTTCCAAGCCAGAATCAGACTTGATATTCATCTGAAGAAAACGGAGCAATTTTCAACCTGTCCATCCATGTTAATCTACAATCGCTGTCATTGAATTGCGAATCCCGATCATTTTTCGAACTCATCGAGGATAGGACGTGCTGGCAACTGATTATGGGTCATGAAATACCTGACAGCATGTTCTAATTTGCTATAGAGACTGATATTATCGGGCCGAGTTACCGAAACATAGACCATCAAAGCCTTCACCTGCATCTCGGTGAACTGGCCTCTTTCTCTGTATGATATTATCCAGGGAATTTTGGAACTTTATGGAAGCACATACATTATCCTTCCACAGTCTTGGCTAACAAGCAACGTCATACTTAGACTTTGTGACACCGACCATTTCTTACCAACTTGCTTGTATCGATAGATTGCATCGCGGACGACGTTCTGGGAACAGGAAGCCGTCGGGCGCCAGTATTTCTAGGGTGAGGTTAATGGCACTACATGAACGCTACTCGCACTACAAACTAGGCCCTTTTCGGTTAACGTCCGCCCCACCCCCAAAAGGTACATTTAAGACCTACAGAAATATCGCTGTCTTTATGTGTAGTCATATTCCTCTGGTTCTTAAGATAAATAGCCATAATAATTATCGAATAATAAGTAAACATATAGTGACGTGCTCGAAGTAAATACTGACCCTAAGAGCGACCGCAAAAAAGGGCTTATTATTCATTATTATTCATAGAAATATCTAGACAGAGGCCTTGGTAGACCATAGTTGTTTTTTTAGGTGTCGGATGTACCTTTTTGGTGGTGAAAAGTTGCCAAGGCGGGTACTAACCCAAAAAGGTTTAGTATGTAGTGCGAGTAACGTTCATGTAGTACCATTAACCTGACCCTATTTCTAATGGCTGCCTCGATGTAGTTAAGAACATGGGTAGTGAACTTTCTCGGTCCGAGATTGAGACGCCTATTCTTTTCCTCATTACAAATGGTCTCATAAGCATGTTGACTTGGACTTTTGCGAGTCGAATCCTCATGTAGTTTTCTGCGTTTGGGTTGCCCATCTCGGCCATGGACCGAGGTGCCCGTCTTTCCCCCCAAGACTGGGCCCACTTGGAAAGTCAAGTAAATCACTGGCAAACTGAACGATCATGCAGTTTTGTGGACTTTGGCGTCTCACCAGGCTCTTCTGCGAGACAAAGGATCGCCGGAATCTGCCAACGTATCAAGGAGATGGGCAACCCAAACGCTGAAAACTACATGAGGATTCGACTCGCAAAAGTCCAAGTCAACATGCTTATGAGACCATTTGTAATGAGGAAAAGAATAGGTGTATCAGGGTCTCGGCCGAACACAGTCGTGCATTGATGGCGCAAGAGCCCAGTCTCAAGGCAAATGGTTTCCGTGAATCGCTGCCAATGTTCTGGTGAGATGCCATGTCGTTGCAGCTCTGCGGGGTAATCAAAAGCGCATCGACAGCTATTAATGCCCAAAGGCAACTCCAGACCACGATTCAGTATAAGAGTCACGGCTAGGCCGGATTCGTCCGTCTTGGGGCAAAGATTTCCCTCTTGAATCTGGAGGTCAAGTAGGATTAGCAAATATAATTTGACCAGGACACTGGGCAAGAATAAGATCAAGAGTCAAAGGAGATCTTGTCTCTACTTATGCTTCCCAATCCTCCCCTTTATTTTGTAGTTCAATGATTATCGCGTTCTCAAGTTGAGACCAACCGGTTTCAGAGCATCAGCTCTCCATATTTGAGATTTAGATTAGGGGGTTTCCATAGCACTGGATTGTAAGGTGCCGGCAATTGGGATAATTTTGCTCAATAAGGTGATTCCTAAGATTTTTTAAATTTCAAAAAACCAAGGAAACGATGGACTGAAAAAAAGGTCGGCAGTGGTAAAATTGCTAGGGATACACCGGATTTGTCCGCCAGGTGAGGCTTTCCTATTTAGACTGACGCCGCTTTTATGAGGGCGGTCAGGCTCAGCCACGGGCTCATGCTCAGTGATTTAATCAGTGCAGCCATGTGATCGGAGGCACTGCGAACGAGAAGAGACGGCGAAAGCACCGCCTGATTCGAGAGAATATGGAGCGGTACAAAAATGAGCAGCCAGTGATCGATTGCGAGCGACAACTTTCTGGGAAGGTTGTTGACGAAGAAGTCATAGGTGCGCTGCAGCGTACCGGTTACATGACACCGCAGCATATAACGCTCATTGACAGTATCCTGACTATGCCGGGTACAACGATCGAGGAAGAATACGAACGCCGCATTGCTGCAATCAATGCAGCGATTACAGTCTGTGACGCGGAAGAGGGTGCTCCCTCGCGGGCCGGTGCGTCGCAAAAACGCCCTGTCGGTGCTGTTGATACACCACCTGCTTCGCCCCTGCCTAAGAAAAAAAGTCTACCCCTTCAGATCAGAGTGATGACAGGTTTTCTTGAGCCATCGCTTCTGTTTGCGTTAAATCTCGAGAAGAAAGACCGACGATATGCTTTTTATGTCTTGGTAATGCTGGGCAGCCAGAAAGTGAACGCTTGAGAATGTACAAGAACCGCGGGTCCCTTAGCCGACACTTCGTCAACAAGCATATCAAGCGGTTCTCAAATGACTGTGAGTGCACTATTTGCGGGGAGAAGCTGATGTCAAAACCGGGACTCCTGAACCATGCGTAAAGAGTGCATGGAATTGTCTCCTGCTTACTTTTACCGGCTATTAGTGTCGGGATATATCCTCCCGTCAGAATAAGCAAAGACATGTTGTACGTAATCTTGCTAAGCTGCGGCTCCCGCCGCATGGATTCAGGGGCATTGGACGAGGACTTGGAACAGACATCTATCTACATTTTTGAATCAATTGACTTTTTGCTTTACGGCATAACACTGTCCACTTAACTGTGTACACAGTACCTAGCTGGTGATACCAACAATTAGTCTACCCCTTCAATAAATATTTGATGTTTCTTGGATAAATGTCTTGCAAAGCGAGGCCATACGTGCACAGCAAACTGATGTTTTCGCACAATTTGATTTTGAGAAAAGTCCACAACGACTGCTTGTAGCTAATACATTTAATAACGACTCATCGTAATAAAATCAAAGTAATAATATGACCGACGAATTATAGCACTAGCTGCGCCGAGTCTTCTTGAGACGGCGAGCATTTGAATCACCACCTACTCCATCCAAGTTTCCCACGCCAATCACAGAGGCCAGAACTTCACTCAGAAGGCTGCTGTGAGGCTCTTCAGGAAAGTAGTCTTTTCTCTGCGGTTCATCCGGTACTTTTCCACACTTCTCACAATTCTGAGAACTACCCTCATGAGCCTCGAGTTGATGGTTGATCTCCACTGTGCTGGCTTTCCGCTCCCACTTAGCATGTGCCTTTTTGAATCGATCGTATATTTTCACTTCGAAGGTCCGGCCCTTATAGCGGAACCAATCTTCAATAGCGTTGTGAAAGCGTGATATTTGCCAGCTGGCTGATGTCAGCTGGGCGACCCCGCCTTCCATCTGCAGAACACCCCGCTCTATCAAGGCACTCAGGTCGGGAAATATTTGCTCCATGCATGACACATGATAGTAATGGTTCGGTTCTACAGCTCATGAGATTCAAGATAGGTTTTAACGGGACTGTGAGGACTTACCATAGTATCGACCGGAAAGGTCCTTAACGTTGAAACGAAATGCAGACCGGATATTAGGCTCTCCATTTAACTTCCTAGGAACGCAGTCCCAAAAGCGGCAGTGACTTCTGCTGCTAGGATTGTCTTGCAATAGAATTACTCGTCTCTGATTGGTGAGCTCATCTTCAATGCACTCTCTTTCAAACGCGACTCGCTTGGCTGGGTCCTGTGTGATCCTCTCCCATTCGCTGCAGTCTTCATCCGAGGGATTATCAAGGTAAGATTCCTCCGGAGAGACGGTGAGCGGCCTTTTATGAGAAGTCATGGTTTTTATGACAGACTTGGCCTCAGGGATATATGTGGTGGGATACAGTAATAAATAGTAGTCGATTGGTAAGGTCGGGAGGATGAATATAGATTAATTATCCATTATTATGGTGAATCCAGCTCTTCTTTTATGATGGATCCATTTGGGCCAATTACGTGAAACCCAACGGCTAATTTCGACAAATTCGGAGAGTCAATTTCGGTCAATACTGGACACTAAGTGCGGACCTTCCTCGAATAGGTCCAGAACAGCGCCTTTTAGCTAGTTCGTTATATCGAAATTCTTCGCAATGTGCTGCCGAGTAGCTGTTCGCGAGGTTACTTATCAGTTACCAATAGAAGCAATAGAATCACAGGGAACCACTCGGGTCTCCCCAAGCTGCTATCCAGCAGAGTAGTCAGAAGTTGAACAGATTATTTAGGTAGACTAATTATTTGATCGATTCTATTTTCGTTCATCTCTGAATACAAAACTGCAAACTGCCAATAGAATAGATTGTTACTGGATCGGTTTATAACGGAAAGATACAGGTTTTACACTTACGGCTACGGCTTCTATCTTACGGGAAATGTGGCTTCGCGTATTGTGTTTGTGGCTGTGCTGCGATACCTACTACATCCGTAATTTCTTTTCATACCGATCCGGTTTCCCGAACGAATTTCCCGAACGAAACTAAGGCAGTGCCGCTGGCCAGTCATCATTATAAGAGTCCAAGATCTATTTGAAAATTCACGCCTGGCATGCCTCAAGACAGACGTACAATTCAAACACTAATATAACTATACCGCGCAAATTGACAAAAGCAACGGACCGTAACTGTCTCTACTCAGATTTGAACTGCTTGGGCCTAGGCGTTAATCTGGAAACGTATCGACATAATCCATGAAGAGCACTGCTAAATAGTAGAATGGTGGCCTAAATAAGAGAGTTTTATTGAATGATGCCATGTCACGGCGTTTCGGACGTTCCGTAGTAGTTGGAAGATGTGTGGGCTGCAAGTCGCCGCGCAAATGCACTCGTCGCAGATCGAGTACGGAAACCAAAGCAAGAACGATAATAATAACTCTCCTAAATCTCAAATATGTCGTTCTTTCCACGAAAACATAATAGAAATCAGTCCTCTATGTACTGCATGACGCCGTCGTAGACGATCAATTCGGCTTCTTCTGGCATGACATTCACCACACTCTGCGGGATTTGATCTCCTTTTGGAAAGCGGGCTTCTTGTCCCCGTCGCAATTCGTAAATCTCGGAAAACAGTTCATCGTATATCTGTCGCTGACGGATAATCCCAGTGCCGTGCCCTCTCATCTCGCAAGCAATCCGTTCGACCACCCTTTCATTGCTTTGATGGGCTTGTTGCCATTCGTTCGTTTTTATCATCGCTGATAATAATTCATTTTCTTTGGCAACCAAAGGAGCCCGATTACGGTCAGAGATAGCCCCTGACTCGGGCAAGACATGAATACTGGTGTAGTTTCTCAGTCAGTCCGCTCGTGCAAACCCAGGGAGTTCAGAAGTTCAACATACACCGCGGAAACATCCATTACCGTGATCATAGTACTTCCCAAGACTTGTAGCCGTTCGCCCAAAATTCGGGATTCGATGCCCTCCAGGTCATGAAAACCTTCCCAATCTGAGTAGTACAACGAGTCATTGAGTGGGCATTTTCTTCTCTCTTCAAATTCCTCATGGTATCTTGCACAGGCGTTTCGGTTGCTCTCAACTGCTGCTCGAAGTTGATGCTGAGCTTTGAGGCTGAGTTTGCAGGTGTCTGGTTTGTCAAATGTCGCCGCAAAGGTATCTAGAATATCTGCAGTGCAAGATAATTGATCGCAAAGGTATTGAAGGGCTTTATTTTCGTGCTTGGCCGATTCTAGTCGTCTCAGTAGAGCAATAGCGCTGTCACGTGTTGCGATAGCCGCATCTGCATTAGAGATTTCCGCCTTTATGAATTCAGCCATGATAATTGAAAGCCTAGATGGATGTAAGATAACGCTTCTCAATAATCTGAGGTAGAATGCAGTGTGATACCTGAATAGAGTTGTTGACTTGGTCGGTTTTCTGATCAGGGTAAAGGGGTCTGATACGGTAATCTGAGGGCTGGAATCCTCAACTTTATATCATCTTAATCTGCCATTTTTGGCGCACTTTAGGGGGAGTAAAATAGCTCGACATCCTAGGAGCTCAAAAAATTCCGAGCAAACAAACCAAAGATAGCTTACAGCGTAGCAGAGTAAGACAGGCCCCCCCGGGTTCCCAGGAGCAATGTAATCGGAACAGTAATACTCGGCCCAAAAGGGATTGCAAGAACAGGATTCTGACACATGCGCTCGAAGGTAAGGTAATGGACTTGGCACTCACGCATTGGACAGTTCTTCTCTAGCGGACGATTATACGGGGCAAGCTATTCTAGTTTAGAGCAGACTCGTCCAAATGTATCAAGACTAATACTATCATGAGAGACCCATGGTAGAGCCAGTAGACGAAGGGTTCCCAGGAGCATGTAATCTAATTGATAGTGTGATCAACCAATAGGCTTCATTGTGATGCAATGAATAGCAGCAAATGTCCAGAACGGGACGTCAAATTGCTGATGCCAGTGCTTTTCTGATTTTGTGGATACGACTAGCGTGTTCACGTTTTATTGAGGTGCTGGTCAGGCCACGTGCTCAGTGAGTGGATCAGACTTGCACAGTGAGTAGATCAGACCTGCTCAGTGAGCTGATCAGAGTGCTTACGTAATGCACTCTGATCAGATCAGAGGGCTCAGAGACGTGCTCAGATCTACTCAGTGAGCAAAAGCGGCGAGGGTCTGAGCACCAAAACGGAACGGGAAGGCCAAGACCTGGCATAGGAAATGCGGTCGGTAGGCAGCGACTGCCCATATATGACTCCCTGGTTCACTCTAATGGGCCACAAAGGATTATTATCAGTGCTGAGTATACACCGGCCCCCTTCTTTGACGTTTGGCTGTTGAATGTGCTAATTATTCTATGATTTCCCAAGGGTGAGGCGATATTTATGAAAGCTGCGAGAATTAATTCGATTTCCAAGCAACCTCACACTTCACGAAGATTTTTTCCACGAACTCTGTCAGTAGATGCAAAGCGATGAACTTGTATGATCTTGCCCTATGGAGTTCCTAATAGCAGTACGATACTTTTTGCCTAATTACCTTGTGTCCTTATTGATAATGCATTCGATCTGGTTTTGAAACCAGTGCCGCCCATGCAACAATGACGAGATCACGGGCGAAGACAAGAATTGCATACCTATTCGTACAGTATCAATTTGTTATTGTGAATTGAGGCTGGTGCAGATCAGGAATCAGGCCGCATCATTTCGCCGCCCTTCCCAAACTTCTCACCGTGCCACTTATACGATCTACACAATATTCAATACAGATTGGTTCGAACAGGATCGGCCTCTGTCATTGTATTTCGTGTCGATTCTTCCTCTACATGCCCGTTTCCAGAGAAACGTGGAACACAAAGATATGAGATGTATCGTCTGCAGCGGCAGTCGTCAGTTTCTTTCTGCATGTGCTGAGTGGTGGGCTATGACTCACAAGGATCGCCAAGCTCACATGTCTGTCCCAATGCCTTTACATGAAACATTTCCGTAACAATGATCCTATCAGATTTTGATCGCAGGATTTCGGGAACCCTTTTGAAAGCGGCTTCCAAATCTTCCATTCGAGACGCCTCGTGAAAGATTCCTGCGAGCAGAGTAGCCAGACGGTGTGTGCTCACGCCCATCGTTGGCTCCACCCCAGGCACTACAATCGAGATCTTTGGTAATAACATCGGGTTCAAAGACAAAAATGCTCGTCGGTAATACTCCAGCATTTGTGAATCCTCTCTCAGGTCGACCTTCTGGGGCTTTGTCGAGGCGACTCTGATTTCCTCCAGCTGGAAGGCTCTTTGAAGACTCAGTATCATCGATTGGAGGTGATGTATTGAGACCTCGGCGTCAAACAGCGGTGATGCTTTGAGCTGGAAAACCATCGTTGAAAGAAATTCCTCCTCTCGCAGCCAGATCTCCTTGGACTCGTACCCTTTCATCTCTTTGGCCTGAATTCCCATGAAGGCGTAGCAAAGCAACGCGACGCTTGCTTTGGTCCCAAACGGTCGATACGGAGGATATTCTCGCTGATAGCATGTGTGAAAGAAGCTTGAATGAGACGATGCATGTTGTCCTAGAATAAACAGGATGTACCTGATTTGAAGCTCCAAATCTTCTAGGGACATGCTATGTAGGTCGTCAGATTGGGTCAAAACCTGGCGTGCATCGATCCACCACCTCCTCAGTCCATTGTATTGCACAACAAACCCCTTCTCCCAGTCGGTTCCATGGCGGTAAATGATGCGCCACAATGCCCCTTCATCTCCGGGTAGCATGGCAGAAATGAAGAGGTAGTTCAGTACGAGCAAAAGTTGATGAATCGTGTGCGGCGTCTTTTCGGCTGCAGCGAGATCCATAGATGGAGCTCGAATTTTGTACGAGGAAGGCAGAGTAGCCTGTTAAATGGTTAGCTTTGGATTCAAAACGTACCTTCCCAAGGCTCAACTCTACCGGAAGGGGCATTTCAAAGTATGCTTTCGTCCAGCAAGGTTTTGATTGACACAAGACGTTCTCGGACAGGGTGGTGGAGGGAGAAGAGTCATTGACGGTTGTGAGGAGGGAATTATTCACTTTTAGTGTCCCGTTTGAGGAGCACGCTTGTGATGATTTCTCAATGGGCCTGGTGTCCTGTTCACAGGATGCTTGGTTGATGTGGAGGGTTTGTTCGTTGTCTGCAGTCTGGATGGTGGATTGCATTGTTTGACTGTGATCCTGTAGGGTTGGGGTTCTGTGCTTGGGTGAATCCCGGGGTTGTATCGAGTGACTTTCAGGATTGTCCCGTCGCTGGGGTCGCTCCGATTGCCAATGATCACGGTCCGGAAGACTCGTTTCTTCATAAACACAGGACAAAATTTTACCGCGGGAAACACAAGACTGGCAAGACGGCACTTCACGAGTGCATCGTCGTTTTAAAATGTGGCACGGTAAGCAGGATCGACGGTGAGGAGGCATCGTAGATGGAGAAATGAACAAAAAATTGCGAAACCGGCAGCCGGCAGCGGTGGTAAGCCCAAGATGTGAAGCAGTAATTCGGCTTGACGTCCTTGCTCGACTTGGCGCGATCTGAGACCGGAGTCGCCTCCAGGATTGGCGGCGAGAAGGCTATTGATAGAGATGTGTGTATGGTGGAAGGATCTTGCAAAATTTGAGGATTTCCGATTTCGAAGGCGTTCTGGTAAAGCTTTATCTATTGAGTGGAAAATAGGGTAACCGAGGGAAGGATGCGAGAATAGATTCATCACGACACTATTTATATCCTCTGTGGCTGACGTCGCTGTTCTTCTGCCAGTATGTATCCAAATTCCTCAATGACCTGGCTGGATAATAGACATTCACAATGGAAGCATGGCCCTAGGAGCTGTGCAATGTCCTAACCACGTATCAGTACATCCTTGGGAGTACCAATCATAGATCCCAGGATCCCTCCATGACCCAGGAACACCAGTGTGGACTCTAGAATTGCACAGTACCCCAGGGGATCAAGGAGTTCGCGTCGTTGCTCATTGTTACATGGACAAGGGGCTGGTTCTGGATTGGAGGAAAGCATCGCAACGTAGTGAAAAGAAATGGTTTTCTGTCAGTGGGCTTCCCTTAGTTCACTGGGCTCCGATCATCATGTGTGTAGGCCGCCATCAAGATGCTTCGAAAGCAGTGGAACCCGGACCGACATATCTTTTCAAAATATCGGTCTGCAACCTTGTGTGTAACTGGTGATGAGTTCGGCGTTGATCCAGGCCCATAGCCAGACGGCTCCACAGGTCAACAAAACCAACCTCCATGGGGTGATCTATTAAACCCGACTTCCAGGTCCACTGTGAACACAGTAAAACAAGGCCATGTCCATGACGTGATTAAATTGCGGCTCATTTTGAACTGTGAACAGAAGGCTGGTGCAAACCCTGAAACCCAGAGCATTTACTGATGGTTGAATAGCTCTTGTTGCACCCCGAGGTCTCGCCCTGGAAGTCCGCCGAAACTTGGTTCGTCAATCAACGTTTCTTTGAATGACCCCGTCTCCATAGACTCAATATCAATATTTCGACAGGACTTGGGTTTTTGTTGGTGGTCAACGAAAATTAGCAGTCCAGCTGTCGTTCAAACCAGGGGAAGTTGAGTGGAAACATGTTTCCATTACGCCTCAGATTTGAGCAGCCACTCACAATTATATTTCACTGGTTGCCACTGCCAATAGTAGTCCAATTGGTGCCAGTCAAAGCATGAGAGCGACAAGACAGGCCGAGGAAAAGCCTATAAATATCCTCTACTCTCCCCAGTCTTTTTACTCTACTAGCTCATTGCATGGATCTGCCAGGCCTGAGTGGGTACAGTATTATTCGCCTTCACGAAGCTAGGAATTCTCAGCCTTTGTACAACGAAACTGAATTAGACAGCGTCAGATGTTGTTAACGAACCCCCTGATAAGTATTTGCTTTGCCTAAACCCGGTTTTCTCCTGTACTGATGGCATACACAGCGCCTCTTTGACTATTGTGGAGCAGTCACCGCCGGTAGAAGGTACACTCCTTCTCTTGATTACCCGTCCCTTTCCAGTCTTGCGTTGTCCGGCGTAACATGTTCAAGCCAGTGACAAGGCATTCAGCCTCCTTGACAATTCCCTTCATTGGCGGACATCAAATGATCTCATATTTGTGCAATCGAATCCCCTTCATTGCCGAGGCGTGCCTTGAGCTTTTATCCGAAACGGAAAGAGTCATGTCACAGGTATGTGCATCGCACAGGTATGTGCATCGCTCCTCTCACCTTGCCCGGTGTTAACGTTGAGGACTCTTAGTATTGCCTAGGACCTGTGTGTATATGCCCTGAATAGACAAATGTCATGTGAGTGGGACTTCAATCGTTGAGGTTATCACGGCAAGTCATGAATCACCCCTCCACCCCAATCCCACTAGCTGACTACTGGCAGCGAGTCATAACTGTGTGCTTCAAAAAGAAATTCCAAACCTTCGAGCGCCACTATGAATGGCCATATCACAAATTTGAGGCCTACACACTATTCCCTGGCACCCATCCCACCACTTGTGAAACCCTCGACCGATCGATGAGCCCCAAGAATGGGGCTGGGATGCGGCCCGCCACGGTTTGTGGCCTGTTTACAGCCAGTCAAAGTCTCCTGCACATGAAAGCGCATTGTACTTTAGCTGACCAACTGTTGCCAGGAGCATCGAGAAAGAAATGCGGAGGTTTTTGAATCTGAGCGGGGTTGTTGATATTGTCTACCACATGATTGGTCGTCGTGTACCAAGTTGGCACCAGCGGTCGACTGATACGAGATCCACTGAGTCCCTCCCAACACCAACGCAACGACAACCCATTTTCAGTGAACTTCGAACTGTCGATCGTTTCTCGCATCACTCGCAAGAGAAGGCGCCCGCACCATGGTGACGAAATCACTACCACCATGCTCGAATCCTGAGTTTGCTGTCATTGGACACAACAGTGGACGGGTTACAACCAAAAAGCTACGCCATCCCACAACCCAACCAACCCGTCGTCATCGAATTCACGAAAGCACACCCGCTGGTAGTCAACGGTGACCAGCACGCCTTCAAAGCGATCAACGATGAGCTGAAAAGGACGTGCGAGTGCTTCGGGCGCAGATCGATGGACCAGCCACGCGCCCTCCCCGCGCCGAGCCCAGCACGATCATGGGCCGATGTAGCAGTCCGTTTTGTTAACGTCGGTCCTTCGGTGAACTACCAGTAATCTGACAAAGACCGCAGCTGCTTTCGAACCGGCATCCAACGCTCCGTCGATCTCTTGGACAATGAAGACAAAGATGAAAATTCCTTCGGTTACGTCCCCACCGCTACCGCAACACATCCAAACCGCGTCATTGAGCACCACCTCTACGCATGATGTACAAGTCGTCTGCGTTCGCACCCGAGGACCACGTATGACATCCAGTTCGAAGACTCAGTGTGGCTGAGCCCGCATCGGCACCAAGTGGTTACCGAACTTTGTAACAACACAAAACTGGTCAAATCGCGGTTCGACATCGTCGTTCCGGTAGCCCAATGGAAGATTTGATATGGACGGTAGTCAGATGCAATCCATCGAGAACATCATCGATGATACCGACCTGATAGAACGGGACTTCCCGTTCGAGGATGTGGGATGGTTGGAAAGGAAGTATAAATCGTTAGGGAATTCGTCGTTGGGCGCCTTGGTCGATTTGACCGAGGCAGCAAGCGAAAGAGGTGCCTCCGCTGTTCGCGGTTCAGCTACCTGGCCTGGTCATGCAAGGAACACCGTGACGTGGGCACGGCGCTAGTCTGCCCGCCAGGCACGAGAGCGCTATGTCTGAGCTGCTACGACGAGCAGCCAACTGGTGACCGACGATTCTCGTTTCCCGCATGATCGACCCTCTCACGACGTTAACGACGAACCTACAACTCCTAGACACGACGAAATCGGGCCGAAGCCGAAGAAGCTTATCAGTGAGCCAAAACCTGGATGTGCTCCTGATCCTGGACCTATCCGCCACCGCGCACCGAACTCACGTCAACCACAGCGCCCAACAGCTGTATCGACCGACCGTCGATAACGACTCGGTCCGCTTTCGCAACATGATCTACGTCAATGGAAGGGTCTCGCCGGCTCCCCTGCGACCAACCGGACCTCTCGGCAATCAAATCTGGACGGACGACTCTCAGATTCTTCTCTTTTCAGTTTGCATTCCGCCTGTACCAATGCACGCGTTCGAAGAGGCATCGGCGGAAACAGCACTGTCAGCAATCCAAGGTACACAACCCTTCAAGGACAACAGAAGACCAACAAGCGGTACCTGGTGGGTGGAGATCGCAACGTCTTGCGAATGTTTAACCAGATTCGCGAAACTACAGGTGATCGTCGACAGTGCACGAGTCTGTCAACGTCTACGATTACTGCTTCATTGATCGAATGCCATTCCTCCTAGACATATTGGTATCAGAGCACGTATCGGATTCTGCCGACGCAGATTTGACCGGAATACAGCCTGACTATCGATACTATCCAGAATGGCCAAGATCCGTCATTGCCACCCTGGAAAGGAAGCCGTCTGGCCAATGCCGAGCAGACGCTCCGAAAGAGGGAGCCACTACATAGATTCTCCAAATAGAGCAATGACACCCTCTACCAACACCGAATGTTGCAACCCCCAAGAATCGCGTCCGCAGAGCGACCATGCCATTCAAGGCGGAATGACGTGCTTCCGGCTCACCAAGAAACACCATGCAAACCATATCATCAGGCCAGGTGAAAGAACGACAGGGCCCGCCGACTTCCGGGAATGGTGGTGCGCTTTATTAGCGCGAATACGGAGGTCACACACAGTACATCACCGTACATTACGCCCCACCCGCCCAAGCACTCACCTGATCTGATGCTCTTCTCCACTGGTAATCTTTCAGATTGCTCCTCCCTCGCCAGCACCCTGTTACTCCACGAGATATTGCAAGACGTGCATGGTGACAAGCCATTGCTTCTGTCTCCTGGTCATCCTATCCTTTCATCCTATCGGGTCAGGTGCACCCGAAACGCTCTTCTAGCGATGCATCCCCCAACCAGGCCTTACCTTCACACCATGTCCGCCATCTCGTTGTCAGCCCTGAATCCCTAGGGTCAGGGAATCCGCCACTCGGCCCGCCAGACACGGATGAACCCCTCTCGAACATGCAAGACCATCCGCTGCTCGTCCCTCGCATTCGGCCAGGGTTCGAAAGCCGAGATCCCCCCAACACCCTTGTTCCTCATGGATTATATCCTACGCTCACCCATTTCAGCGATGCGATCACCGCCATCCCGCGTGAGTTCTGTCGACACAACGCCTTGCTGAAGGAGGTGGACGCCCAAGCATGGGTGCTCGAACAAAATTTGCTTCGGCTGCTGAAACATTCTTCCGAGTCGCAACCTATGCCTCGCCCTTCTCACCCTGCGCCTATTGTGAGGGGTCGTGAAAACATATTCCCAAAGGTAGGTAGATTCCATAGTTGAACGAGTTCTTTGGCGAATATTGTTGCCGATGGCTCCCCCTCTCACCCCCAGGAACTCCCTCGGGCTCCCGAGTCGCGCGAGAGTAAAAATCGTCGACTCCTCGATCGCGTGCGACGAAGAACGGTTGCCAGAATTGGTTCCAGCAATAGCTCATGGTTGAACTCACGGTCACCGTTGATTCAAGGAAAATACTATGACCTCACAGACTGTCAACATCAATCTGTCTTAATCTGACTGCGTTGAAAAGCGTGGACTCCACATTCGGGTGCTGAGAAGAGCATATCATCCTAGAGCACTCGGCGACTTGAGCCGCGTGGAAAAGAGATGGCAGAAAAAACAGAATGTACTATCGAGAATGCACAAATTCACGTATACTTTCCATAGGAAATCTACACTGGATGCGTTACAAACTTCGTAGCGCTCACCAGTTCGCACTGTTCATTTTGTTGAACGACGACTAGGGCGGCAATGGATGATTACCGTTGGCAGCCACCTCACCGCTCGGCAGTTGCGCCGCAGAACATCAACAACGGGACTCTCTGGTCCGGCCTGGTTATCACCAGTGTCCACCCTCGATACTCACTCACCTCTAGCCCTCACCATATCATACTATACTGCCAATTAGCATCAAGCCCCCCCTTCGATCCTCACCCTCAACAAGCGTCATCCATCCTCGATGCCCGCAATACTCGCAACCCCCACAGACGAACAACTCCCGCCGCCACCGCTAGCCAGCCTCTGGACAAGCCTTCACACCTCGAGTTGCAGACATCACCCAGATTGGCCCACGCTATTATGCACCGGATCACAATCGCGCTAATCATCCAATACACTTTCTACTTGGCATCCCATGGCAGAGAATGCCCATCCTCGAAGCTCCGAGCGTGATTGAAGGCTACAAAATCCCCTACGCGAAGAAGGAATACGAATAGTGAACTCTACGAACAAGCACAACCATATAACACACAACGCTCTTGAGCAGATTCTTCATTGGGATGGATTCTTTGGAGCAGGTCTTGGCTTCTTCGAGTAACTCGAATACTAGTCTCTGACACCGCGAAGAGGTGCCTGCATGTCGCCAGAGGATCAGGTGAGGACCGCGGCGCCACGGGTCGCCTAAACGAGCACAAATTTGATAACGCAGGGCTCAAGGCTGCATGGAAGCTCAGAATTATACAATCACAGGGCCCAAGGCTATGAGGGAGAACTTGGTGTCGCAGCGGTCTCCTGCGGAGCACATTTCAGCAACGCAGGGCTCATTGCTGCGAGGGAGAACTTGTTAACGCAGCACTCTCCTGCGGAGTTCAATTCGTGACGCAGCGCCCCCCTGCGGAGAACAGTTGATATCGCAGAGCTCATCCTGCGGGAACAGTTGGTGTCGCAGAGCTCATCCTGCGGAGAACAGTTGGTGTCGCAGCGCCCCCCTGCGGAGAACAGTTGGTATCGCAGAGCTCATCCTGCGGAGAACAGTTGGTCTCGCAGAGCTCATCCTGCGGAGAACAGTTGGTGTCGCAGAGCTTATCCTGCAAAAAGCGCCATTCTTACTTCACTGGGCTCGCACCAGCAAAAGCCAAGACCTCAAGGCAAGGCCTGCAAGCAGACAAGGCCATGTTGTCGTGGAGGATGAGGATCCAAGTCCTGATTTTGCAGACCGGTCATGCAGCCTCCTTTTATGCCTTTTCTCCTCCGGCTGCTCATAGCTGCCGGGTATGCAAATCTCTTGGAAGACGTGATGTATTGTGCTGTCGTCTCAACATTGTTGCTGCCAATGCCGTTGACGGACGCTTTTAGAGTTTGTGGCCAATCTCACGAAGCGCCCCGCCCTGAACCGTGGCTTGAAAGGATCTAGACGGGCCGCCCCCTTGGATCCGTATCTTCGAAATTGTCTCTCGCATTGATATTGTTTACAGTGTATCACCTTCACCAAACCGTTGAATAATGAGGGTTGCGTTTGAAAATAACTAGCGAGATGGGGACTCAGGTATTACACGGGCCAGGCTGGACGGCCACACGGGGACTTGCGGGCGAATGGGGCTCGACGCTTTCCCTCTGCGCCAACGTGTGAGGTCTACACTTCGTGCTCTGTCTCCCACACAACCAAATGCAGGGCAGAAAAATCGAGTACAATTTATTTACGACATGAATGTTCTCAACGTTAACGATGGACGCACCGCAACAGTTGATCACCATTCAACGGTGAGACCCACCTGTTGCTCAGAAAAATTCCGCGGGTATCTGATCCATGGTACGCCAGGCGATCTGCAAGTATCGATCCGCACAGTAGTTCTGCTCCAGGACTGAACAATTAGGGTCACGTTCGTTTCCCAATAGTATGGCATCCCCTGTTTGTCAATGGGTATAGAGGAAATACATTTGATCCCATGGCCCTTGTTAGACCAGAGAACTGCTGTTCATTCGGTTTCTATACAGTGCCTCCCAGATTTGTCCCGAGGCCCGCATCATCTTATTCAGGACAAGTATGCGTTCTCAATTCAATACAGGAGTCCTCAATGGCCCAGATGCATTCAGTGTCCATTGAACGGCACCGGATGTTGTTAATAGTACAGTGCTACAGCCGGTCCAGAATTGCACAATTGGACTCGGATATGCCATTCTTGCGTTTCTCCTTAAGACCTCTTCACTCCCCTGGGTGCGCACGGTTTGTAGGACCAATATGCGTTCGGTTTTACTAAGGACGGCTCTTATGTTGTGAGGCTCTATGAATCCCATGGAAATTAAGTCATAGACTTGCTTTGAAGTATCATTAACTTGTGATGATTTGGCGGCGAAAATGCAGCTCTACTTATAGCGAGTACAAGCGGTGCAAGGCTCGGCAATTCGTATCCAAAGTCATTTTCAAGCTATTGTTGTATATCGCGGAGAGGTTATCCCGATGGGCCATGACAAGTCAGCTATTTCCAGAACTGATGAGGGAGCAATAACTCCAGTCTGATGGGGTGCGCATGCTATTCATTGGGAACTGCTATAGAAACGCTAGCAATCCACCGTCAATCATATTTTCATTGTAGCATTTACCTGAAACCTTTCCTGTTATAACCCTATGACAAAAGATTAGGTTCAATTCAACGCCAGATTCCATAAACCCGACGGCTGAAGCAGAGATGTATTGCAGTAGGAGTTTTTGCTGTGACCCTGGTCATTTTAATAATCATTTTGTTAGCGCTACAAGCTTCAGTTCGACTGTAATGAAAGTATGGATTAGGAATCTTTCACATGAGGTCTAGAACAGAGAGTGTCGGGATATATCCTCCCGTCGAAAGAAGCAAAGACATCTTCTTTTGTACCTAGCTGGTGATATCAACACTTTCACACTCTCTTATTCATAGACTTTCTCTCTCATTTGAAGCTGGACCGATTTTATATGGAAGTAATATACTTGAGGATTGGCTCAAATTGATATAAATTGACTGATACGGCATGTTTGCTCTGTATAGAGTTGTTAACTCTCACTAGCCTCGTCTCCCTTCCCTGGGTAGTTAGCCATGAGTACTGACCCCATCACGACTCTTCCTTTGCGTTCAGCCTCATTGGGAATTCATCTTGCAAGAAATGCTGCACTCCCAGTGTGAATTCCTCCTCAACGAGCAGTAATACTTTTTTGATGGGCCTTGGTAGCAAACGAAGTCGGTCGATCAGATGTACAAGACGGGCCTTTTGTGACGAGGCTTGGGACACGACGTCGTGGGTCGGCTGAAAGCCTCTAGGCTCGGATTTCGGAAGAACTTTCTTCAAAAAGCTACTGAGGCGGTGGAACTTCGCGGCACTCGAAGATGCGCCAAGATCCCGAGAGAAACCCACGGCAGCATGACTCATCTCGATCAACAAGGACCGATCTTGGGCAAGGCGGTGAACAGCAGCATGCCGAATGTTGGAAATAGAGTCTTGCCAGTCTTTGACGGTCCTGCAAATCTCCTGAAAGGTGTCGGAACGAACCTTTCTCTGCTGTTTGGCCAGAACTCTGAAGAAGATATGCAGCTCAAGCGCCTCTGGACATGTCCATCCCAGGGCTTGCGATTCAGATACTAGCCACTTTTGGGCAAACTGGAACGCATTCTGTTCGAGACACCGTTGCATCGTTTGTAGAATGAAATGCTGGGCTTGATATGGCACGAACCCCTCTGGCATTCCGGACAGCATGTATAACTCTCGCAGGGCGGCTATTAAGTGCGATGAATCAGTATGTAGTATTTGATGAGGAATGTTCTGACATACCAGGAATACTTCTTCCTTCGATATGTATCAACAGTTCTCTCAGAAAACTGCAAAAAAAATTCGATTAAATGAAACTGAATTTTCCAAGGAATTTCAGCCTTTCACGGACCGTACCTTTTACTCGGCATTGCGGGTTCTTGTAATGATGGTGGTGGTGGAGTTCGTGTTTGAGTCAAGGCTCGAGCCGCCCTGGAATTGATGTGTCTCTGGCGGCGGCCCTTTCTCCTGCATCGGGCTCTAGGCATATCCTTCAGAGCAGAAAGTACGGCAAACTCAGAGTGGCGCTCCTGTCGATGAGGGGACAAGCTGTCTTCGGACGAACCCAGAACATCGCCCTTGAGTTGACAACCAGAGCTCATCGAGACACAAGCAGCCATGATTGCAGTGAAATCAATCAGACCATAGTATGAATTGTAGGGTGAGAATTTCAGAAGCATAAGCTAAGGAAAAGGCGGAGAAGGGATGATCGAGGTGGCAAATCTCTGGGTTCTCGGGGTTTCCCCACTTCCTGTAGATTACTACTCTGGACGAAAGTCAATTGATGGTCGCATGCGCGTGGCCACCGAACCAAGGCGCTTGGGGAGAGATGGGTGGGCCGCAGCAAACCTTAAATGCGCCTCAACGGTCGTTCTGTTGACTCAAGTCTGACGGTTTCTCAACAGTAAAATGTGGTAGCAATGAAAGAGGAGACCATCTTTGTGGAGTCAATGTTGGATGAATGTGTTTTGTACGCATAAGGGTAAAATAATCGTTACAGTACACCAGTTTCTCGTAGTGTCAGAAGTTGGTCTCCGTGACGAATACAAGCCCGCAGGGGCGGAGCCTGTTACTAGGCGAGTTCAGCAAAAAGGGAGACAAAGCGATCCCGGATAGATGGCGTCTCTATAGAGATGCATTGAATTCGACCTTGTTAGCCTTGATTTAATCCTTCAATTGTTGATGTGAGGTTTCAGAGCAAAGGAAACCCACGGAGAGATCTTACCACCAGTTGAACTCACTTGATGCGGAGAGCATTTCATACTCGGTCGAGTTAGGTGTCGTTAAAGTTTCAGCCTAGGCATAGTCTCCTACCCCATTTGCTTCATCCGGATCTCACTGTCTCTTTGCCTCAAGAGCATCTTTTCTGACCGACAATCCTGGCATTTTACTCTCGAGCTTCTCGAACCAAAATGCCTTTCAAATCCAGTCAAGCTGGACGAAAAGGGTCCGATAGAAAACCGATACAGAAAGACGCCGTCATTGAGACCGCAGACCAAGACCAAGCACCGGGCGCTTCTACCATCGATAGGGAGATTCTGGAAAGGATTCAAAAATGCCTCGATCGAGCTCATCACGCCAACTTGTCCGAGTTGGAAGCAAAGGCTGCCTGCCCTATTCGTCTCCCAAAAACTTATGAGCCAACACAATGTGACACAAGCGGATCTTTTGGCCAGCGACGGAAGCAACAGCAAGGCTTCGTTTGGCGGACACAGCAAGGTCCGTATCACAAAGACCGGTGGCTCAGATAAGAGGGTCATGATGGAAGCCTTTGTGGAATGGAGGTGATATCGCGGGCAGTTTCTGTTCCAGATGGCACCAGCCGCGATGGGCTGCGTTTCGGAACCGGGAATAGAACAGGCATACCCCGACGTCGCTGGAGAAGCACCCAATATCACATCAAGTTGCTCGTGGCGACAGGGAATCGACAAGTAGCTGTCCACCTAAGTCGGTAGAGTCACCACCCAAAATGGGGATAAGCAACACTTCTAATTTGTACTCGCTCCCTCGGACCTTCGGATACAATATCAGAGGAAGACTGGACATGAGAAGAAATCACCAGCGATAATACCGGACCCTACACATGCAATGTTACCATAGAATGTGCTTGGGCTCACATCTATTATCACACTGCTTGTCTTTTGCTAACAGGGTTCATGCCGTACCTTCCTGTCAGATCCTCATCTGTTAAACAGCACAGAGCGAAGGCGCTTTCTACCTCGTCTAAAGGGAGAGGCTTCCCACCTTCTCATACGACTCAGGCGATACTCGATCAGACGGCACTCCATAAAACGCTCGATCTTCGTTCAACGAAATCATGGCATAACATGTGGATGTGTGAGACAAACCGGTAAAGAGGCACATTCGGTGTGCCTGACGAGCAAATTGCCGGCGGCAGCCACAGGGCACCACGTCGTTGGGGAGGGCTGTACTGAACGGTGAGCAGCTGTTCCCTGGCTGATGAATGACCACTTACCTGCATGGTGGAGAAGAAGTGCCATTTCAGCATTGGCACATTTGTCATCATGAAGCACAATATGGTAGTCCGGGCCGCTGGGACCGAGCCTGCGAACCGATTCCGCCTCATTGTCTTCCCAACTGACCAGAATACCACCGGAGTATGGCTTCAACTGGATACTGTGCGGCAGGTACCGCAGTCGCCGTCCAATCTGCCGCATGAATCTCAGTTCCGCTGGTCGAGACGTCGGATGCGCCTTGAACATGGATGCAAGTGATCGAACCAAGAGCTCTTCCACCACATGGTAACAGAAAAACGACGCAGTTGTGTCGGCAAGGTTGGTCGGAGACCAAGGTCAAATGAGCGACCGGTGATGCATACAAGCAAAGTCCAACCATCGGCAGTGTATCTTCAACGTACCCTGTCCCTTGTCAAAGTAAACGTCGACTTTGCCGGTTGAGCCTCGGATGTAGACTACCTGAATATGGTCGGTGAACTTCAGCAGAGCGAAGCAGGCTCGCAGTGCTCGGTCAACGGCTCTCGCGAATGTAGTGTCCGGAAGGATGCAGGGCTTTGCATCTTTGAACCGCTTTTGCTGCTCCTCTTCGACGGTTCCGATGGGGCCGTGCGCACGCAGCATCTGCCACAGCGTGTCCGGTAGGCGGGCCGGGCGCTTGCCAAGGCTATCACGGATGGTGTTCGTGGTCTGTCTGCATCAGCTATCCAAATGTGACACGGTGTGAACCGCAAGCACATACCTGGTCATTGCTTCTCTCGCTGTAAAAGAATTGGTTGTCTGCTGATTCGTGCAGTAAGTATTGTCAGATCTGACTGGCCGTTGACGACTCTAAAGAGAGCTGATCATCTCGGCGTCAGTGGCACGGGCATGCTTCCGCTACAGATCGACAAGGAGAGGCAGGACGGTATCTTTCTGCTTGCCTAGAGCAGCCTCCCATATATGTTGCACTTGACGAGCCGCATCCCGCCAGGATTTCGGTCTGAGACGATCGCGGCAGGTTGCCAAATAGGCAAAATTGTACGCGACGAGGAATGCGCCGCCCACACTGAAATTGGTCAAGGTGATCCTATTGTGGTAGAGCTGGCCTCGCAGCTGGGGATGAAGAACCCAAGTCTCCATATTGTGTAGAAATGATGCAGGAAGGGTAGGTGAGTCCGCGAATATTCATCGTCGTCAAACGGAGCCAATTCAAAAACGTGTCTGGCGCTAGCGGTCGGCTGGACTTGGCCTGCGTCGCGTGTCGCGCCGATCACCACTGCCACGTCCCTCCCCACATGGTAACGTAGGTCTGCTATATCTAGGGCAGGATCAGTCCACCCGATCAACTTGGTTTTCTGAGATGGTGCAACCGTATAAGAAATCGAAGCGGCCTCTGTGTGCATGTCAAACCTCCAATTGCAACCACTCGCGGCGACACTCACCTGGTTGCGATCTCGAGCGAGGACGAGGCCGCCAGCTTAAGACCCTCGCCGTGATGTTCAACACGATGCTTGTGAGCAGCTTTGGTTGAGAATCCCATCGCTAGAGCATTGATGGGTAGATACATGCATGGATTTGCGATCGTGATTCGACCGGCCTCTTTTTCGTATTGAATGAAACCCAGTGCGCGTCGATTCTCACGGTCCCCTGGTTGGTCGGGAACAACGATTGAGAGATGGTCATCATGGTCTCCCAAAAATGGCTGGAAGCTCGGACGGTCAGGGTCGGGTCTTTCGGTGGTGGCGTCCTTCCTGCGCGGATTAGCAATCTGTCTAGCAGAAGAGGCCCGCACGTACCAATTTTAATACAATACCCGGAAGACATCTGCTGGCGCCCAGTCTTTGAGCAGCTGCGGGAAATGCCGAGTGCCACCACGCGCCGGGGCGCTCGGTATGTAGTGAGAGTGAAGTTTCGACTCTGGAGCAGCTCGCGTCCAAGCTACTCGTTCACCTGAGCCATCAGCCTATCATCCTCGCTCGTGTCGGTGTCGCTATTAGGCATCATTCTTAAAAGCCCGTAGGCGAATCCGAATGACTTGGCTTTGGGCAGAGAAGTGGAGAAGGGCGACGGTATATATATCCTGGCCTCTGCCTTAAACCACCAAGCCTGCTATGGTGCAGTGGCCATGTTTCCATCACATACTTACAACCTTGTGATGGTCAACAAGTGCCTCATTTTCTGAGTCCCATGTATCAGAATCTTTCATTTCAGTTGGTCGCGACATGAATCTGGTTCATCAACGTTGACACCGAGTCTCCGCTAAGATGATGAGTTGGACAACGGTCAGGGTGTTCGACCACTGCTTTCTTGTTACCTGCCTAATATTGAGTCTAGACGCTTGCATAAACATCCAAACTCACGGTGACTTGACGGAGGGAAAAGTCATCAAGTTGGTTTTACGATTTGCGTAAGAAAGTGAAGTTTGAACAAACGCAGGTGAATAAAGTTGAGAAATTCATCCCTGCTTCAACAAATCTCGGTAGAGGAACTTTCAACAAGCTTCACTTTGCATAGGCATAAGGCTGTTTAAAATGGCGACATACAGACAAGTCCACGCTGTTGCAATACGAAGCAGGCGGCAATAAGATAAGCCGAAATCCTATAAACACGGACTTTCCCTCGGGTTCTCTGTCGAAATAAACGTCTGCTTCGTCGTATTGGATGGATTCCCTTGCACTAAGAAGCCATTAGATGCTCTGCAGCAGCTAGCCTATGATAAGTTATTCCTTCACTTTTGGTTCTCTCGACTCGTGGTCGTACCGGCTAGCCAGGCCCTCAGTCCAGACTAGGCTCAAACGTTCTGTTCTGTGCGCTTGCATGTACCCATCAGCCTCGTCGAGTCGAGATGATAAGGTCAATATTCACCAGCCTTTGACGATGAGAAGACAGGCAAGGCTTCCTGTGCGGGTTACCTTCTTGTTAGCTCAATACAATCGGAGACTATGCTGAATCAGCAAACGTTCCAACTTCCGACCAGCCCAGTCGATTCAATCAACCGCTCCAAGTTAGCGCTACGAAAACTCCACACCCACCAGCCAGTCATGGGCAATAGCCAAATCACCCTTTCTCTTCACAACGTGTGAGCCAGCTCTTTATGTGAGTCATGAGCCTCTTGTCTGATCCGCTTACTAAATTATGCCCGACAACGGTTACTCCGGCGAGACCTTCAGCGCCTAATAATTATGCATCCTCGACTTAGACCGCCATATCCTGAAAGCCACTTGCCGATAACCCACACGTCGCTGCTGTCTTGGGTAGTGTGAAATCTTGAGGAGTGTCCGGGAGCAAGGCTACATCTGCACTCCGTCACGGCTGGAGCTGCAACTCGCTCGTATTGAAGTCTTCATTGGAAATCGAGTACGTCTGCTCATCGCAATTGCTTCATGATCCTGGTTGAAGCCAGGCAAGGGCGATTAGTGACTTTTTATTGTCGCGAGAGAAAGGGCAGGTTGGGTCGAGGCTTGAAGGCTGAGCTCATCATCCCCTAGACAATATCTGCATTGTTGCGGTGCTAAGCATCGTTCTTGTGCAACGAAGAGTGGACAAGGTAGCGGATGAGAAGGCCATGAATGGACTCACATATCATAAAATTCATGCTGACTGCCTTCTGCCAAGTGGTACAGGGCGTACCAACTCTGCAAGAAAACTGCGGGATACGACGCAAATTCTTGATCGTGCACTATACGCATCTTATACCATTGCCTCGTTCGCAATCTCTTGCCTCGGGCGTCGTGCTGATGTGTCAATGTCAACGGGACTTAGGGTTGCCGAGATCATATCCCACTCTAGCTAGAAGCAGTCGTTGCTGAGAAAACCTCACCCCTAGTCAATGAACACTAGCTTCCCCGAAGCATTTGCGGTTCTTCGGAGACAGTCATAAATCTCAGTCTGTTGAGCTTTGATGTCAAAGGCACATATGACGGTGGGAATGAGCCGTTTCTCTACGAAAAAACGAGGACGAAGAATCACGCAAGTCCATATCCGAAGAGTGAAGAGTTCCTCCTCCTCGCAACAGGCGTCCATCATCTCATCGTGAACATCCACCGGTCTGATGGGATGGCTATTGAGCATTCGGGCCCGCCTGCAAGGTTTGCCACCTTCATCCATTCCTGCAAAAGATTTTGATCCATGTCTCCGTGGCGAATCAGAAAGGAGACCTCGCTTTCGTCGACAATTACACAGCATGGACGGTGGGCGCCGAGACGAGTACGAATGTCTTGTAACTGGTCATCCTGCAAGTGTCAGATGAGTGTCGCAGTCTGGTAGGACTTTGAGAGACTAGGCACCGTTCATCTACCTCAAGCGAAACCAACGACGGCGACTGCACCAGCTTCCTGTGGTCCCGCTACATGTGGATGAAACGACTGTCGCCCCGGCTCCTGAAGCGAAGGTGCTCTGCATCATGATCGACCTGGTATGGCTTTTTAAATCGTGGATCGGAAAGGCTGGCGGATCTACATATAAGCGGTCCTGGCCCTCACGACTGCGGGAGATCCCCTTTGGTAGCTTGCCAGCTCTTCACCTCCGCAGCTCCATCGAAAATTGATTATGCAGCGTTTAGATGTTGCCCTTTACGACTAAATACTACCTTTACAGCACAAGCCGAACAGCAATTGAGATCGTCCAGTGTCACATTGCAGACAATAGCGGGCAGACCCCCAAATGCAGCGCTCGTCATCAACAAGGGAGAGGCGGGCATTGCAACAACCATCGTGTGCCATTGAGCCCGGATCTTGACCATTGGATCTGCCATACTTTGCCAAAGGGTCACTCCTTTTGGTTTGGCAGTCCCATGATGATGAACATGATGAGTTTCTCACCGTTGATTCTCTCCGAGCCCTTCACTTACTGACACGAAACCTGACGCTGTTGATGTTTCGCCATATTTCAATTCGTACCTGCCAGCCGGGATGTAGGACGCAAGCCCAGACAACATCACAATATCCCGTATGTATAGAAGCCCTCATGAGCCTCGCTCAGCTGAGCTGACCCAAATCAACCTCTCTTAGATTCTTTGACCGTGGGAGCACCGCTAAGTCTTCCTGCGCAAGTATGTCCTCATGTTGGTCAAGAGTCTTCGCTGATCCACTAGCCAGGCACCCTACAGAACATACTTACGAACAAGCCCCAAGTGTGTCAGAAGTGTACAGGTCAAGTTAACTTGCCACCTTCCGGATTCCCCTTTCATATCAATCCACACGCCGCCGATGTCTCACGTAAGTCGAATATTTGAGCCGTGTCCCAAAACGGCTTCGAGAAACTCCAACGTTACAGCCCCAGCAAGCTAGTGTGGAGATTGGCAGCAAACAGTCTCGTACGTCTGCTCGGTACTATTGCCCGTCGATCATAACCGTGACCTTGGCTGAAGAGCAGACCAATACGACGAGGCGTTGAGTCGAAAGTAGGAGGAAGTCGGGCTGATCCATGCTAAAGCTAGCTTTGCGTTGTCCAAATGGGTCCGCCGAGCATCTTTAGAGCGAATCAAAGCTTGGAAAAAATTGAAGATGAAGATTTCTTCTATGATAGAATGCAAACTGTACTGACAGAAGGGTCATTGTTCAAGGGCGGCGGTCAGACCAATCCTGCGGGACTGGCAGGTCACGGCGCAAACTTGCACGCGTCTTGCACAGCCTCACCGCCTAACCGTCGCGGTGGATCTTTATCGAGGCCACCCTGGTGCCAAGCACTGCTAGCGACGCGTCACACTCAATGCCTGGCATCCCTCATTCATCCTTTGCCCAGTAATGAGCATCTTAATGCGGCGAAATCAGAAACACGATCCCTACCGCCCATCCCAATTTCGACGTCCTCAGAGACAGTGCGCTGTCTTTCCACCCAGATGGTCGGCTTGACTGGGCAATTAGCACCCACACCCTGTGCCATTCTTGCTCACGACAAGTCGCTCCGTTGACGAGCCTTCTAATTTTTCCGAGCAACGATGTCTGCCTACCGGCTGATCGACACTTACAGGTCTCGATCGGCCCGTCCTCTGGAGAATTGAGCGAATGTGCATTTCAACGTGTCATCGCTCGGCCTTTGTGATGCATGAATATAAATGCTAGCGGATCGCTGTCCTTCGGCAGAATTTGCGAACGAATCGAGACGAGTCCGAGAATCGAGGAAGATTATGTGAAACAACAACACTTTCCCCTACGAAAAAGTTGATGATCCCACCGAACTCCATGGGCCGTCCAGACTCGTCCGGCAAGCGGTCCATACGCGGTTGCACCCGCTGGCACTTCAACACTTCAAGGCCCACCGTTGGAGCGATTCAACCCAGTTGTGGCTGACAAGAGGACCAGCATCTGTGAGACAGTCAGGCAGTGCAAGCTGCGTGCAAGTAAAGCCTGAGCCGACTGTCTTCCAGAGCCATTTACAAAGCAGCCACTGGCGCACCGAACTCGGCCTCTCCAGGTGCTATGTGGCTTCGCGTTTCGAAGTAAATGGCCTGCATCCCTGCTCGGTCACATCAGTCATTCCCCGAGCTCTGAAGCCCCGGGGGTGAGTGCCCTGAAAGCTGCCACTCCCTGACTATCCTTTTCCAATAACGCGCCGTCTCTAGCACTGTCGAGTCTATCCTGGTCCTGATAGAGCCTTCAAAATAGGGAAAGATGCATCTTTCCACGTGGTTGCTGATTTTGAACCACACCGGTGGAGCTTATTTCCTCATTGGGGACCCTATCGCCTCTCCTTCATCACGTGACCGACGAGCAGAAGTCTTGGACCTGCTGAAGCCAAGTTGATTTTGAGCTTCAGAAAATGGACCCCTATTTTATTGTTGAGCAGAAAAGCGCAGAGAATTCTGTGTTGAATGATGTCGATTCCATCCGAGAAATGCTTCTGGGTAGGTGTGGGACGCTATGAAGAGGAAGCAATGATGCTGGAGAAGCCTGTTGTGAGAGAAGCGAACGCGGGACAGGCTTGAGAGGCATCTAATGCTTATAGCCACATCACGCTAGATGCGTCAGAGACTATTTTACAGATCCATCACGTTCATCCTCTTTGTTCGATGGGCCGTCCAAGAATGAGTGGTCGTTCGCGCTAAGGAAGCATGGCGTGGACGTGCAAAATTCGCTGTTATTGCGGAGGTTGTGTCTCCTTCAACCAGTTCCTGCGACACCTTCGTGTCATTCCGTGTGTCTATGGGTGTATGATTTCCACGGTTCTTAATTCCATGGCATCCCCAGGTCGTTCATTTTTGACCACTTCTACCGACCTCAGCAGGCTTTTCTGGCCTTGATCTTGAGAACATCATCGTTCTGATCGTGGATGATGCGACATGACGTGACGTTCTTCCGTCTACCTTGGAAGCTATGAAGAGGAAGCCATGATGCTGGACAGAGCTCTGGAGGCTGGCGGCAGGGGCTTATTGTGCCTCCATCCTGCGGTCAATTCCTCAACTATCTACGTAGTCGCTTTTACAGGCTGGTCTTCGGTAAACTTAGGCCTACGTAGACTGCTGACTGTGCTACTGATGAGACAGCCGCCGGTGTATCACGGTCTTGAAAGTCGGGAATAGAGGGTGGCCTTCCGAGTCCGTCGGCCATGCCCAGGTGGAAGCTCACAATGAGGACCTCGACCACGCACTAATTCGGTGCCAAGTTGTGCTCGTTTCAGGCTCATCCCGCATCGTTGGTTTTCCACATGCAAATCACCTCTGTGATCGATGTAGTTGCTGAATACTTCATCCTCTCAGTCTATCTTATTGTGTATTGAATGTCCTGGCACTTCAAATTATTTAAATCAGTACCCGTTACGTACAGGAAAGGCAATAAAAAAGATTGTCCTCAGACACACGTACCTACTTTCCCAGTGCCCCACTTAAACTTGACACTACAGCAATCTGATGATGATCTGGGTCTAGTCCGGCAGTAGGTGTGTCTGGGGAACTGTATTATTCCCAACTATATGATGTACTTCAGTCATATTTCCTAGGAAACTGGTGTAGATTCCTCACTGGTCATAACACTGTGTGACCACCGGAGAGATTTAGGACCATGGATACGAGTATGCTGTCCAAATAATACTGGTATTCACAGGGAGACATGAGGCTGAATATACGACGAGAAGACCAAGTTGATTGATAACAGTGCGGGTGGGTGGGTCTTTCCCTCAAGTCGGACAAAAATCTGCTCAACGAGTGTGACCCCGCTGCGCCCGTTGAACGACTAACCTTCTGTCCGCCAACGCAGGGTCAAAATCAACATCAACATCAACATCAACATCAACATCAACATCAACATCAACATCAACATCAACATCAACATCAACATCAACATCAACATCAACATCAACATCAACATCAACATCAACATCAACATCAACATCAACATCAACACATCAACACATCAACACATCAACACATCAACACATCAACACATCAGACTCTTTCGCTATTATGGCTCAAGTATTGTTTAAGACCGGTTTGTCTACACGTAGAGTACGACCCACTATTGGTCGTTCCTCCACATGGCCCAAAAGTAATCCAATTCAGAGCCGAATTTTGGAATACTGTCGACGAACGTTGAACATTTACTAATGAGCCAACTTTTTCATATGTTGAATGGCCCTATCAAAGGAGTCTGACCACAGAAGAAGGCGTTGAAATTGGCACCATGGAGAGCATGAGTTCTTACAGTCGAAGGAGATTGCTAAGGAGAAACGGTTATTGGTCTGTGCAAAGTTGCCGAACAATTGCGGATGGTGTAAGTATAAGCAATATTATGAATGGTGGCGTAGATGAGGTGGATCAGTAGAATGAAGCCTAGTGAGGATTCCGCGGAAAATGTTCGTATTTGCAAATCACGAGCGTCGCATCGCAATTCACATAAATTTCGCGTTGACGAAACGACTCACGTCGCTACAGAAGTCTTCCTCTCACCCAGACTGGCTTTCACCGTTGAGACTACCTCAGAAGGGTCCAGCTTCTGGGTATGTCGTGGCTAGCATCCACAATTACATACCATCTCTGGTCAAAAACTACCTCTAGTACCAACGTTTCATGAGGCGAAATCTGGAGACATCAATTTTCTGTTGTACAGTGTCGTCCCATATATGTATAGAATATTTATAACTAGCCCCTCGCCTCCTCCTATACTTTTTCTGTAGCCTCTCCTTTGATCCGAATATGGTGGAACATTCCAGAGTGGGTCAAAAACATACCGAAGAGCCGCCCCCCTACGTCAAGCATGGTACGTGTACTGGCAGAAGCACAGAGTGGTATATATCTAATAAATGCAGATTGGAGAGGTGCTCAAAGTTTCTGGAAGACGAGAGAGTCGTGGTCATTCTTCCGGAGGCTTAAAGAGGCGTTGCGTGTTGACACTGCCTTTTTGAAGTCAAGTCATTGGCTCACGTCTCCACGGGATCTGCAAAACCGCAAGTACATCCTCTACCAAGCGGCTTTGGATGTCAAGGCCTTCCGTCGAGAAATCAACAGAGGCGAACTGAGTCTCGAGGTGATCAGTCAAAGGAAGATGACTGTTTATGGGCGGTATGCCCGGGCAATGAACGAGGCAGAAACCTGGACAGGTGAGTCACATCGCATCAAATTTAAGCACAATTATAATGTTGTGACAGGTTATCGCTTCCCTTGTGCTGGCCGCGTGCAGAATGAGGAGCATGAGAAAATGTGAATACTGTATGGATCTGGGAAGTGGTTACTATACAACCCCTCGAAAGGACTAAGAGTAGTGACGATGCTTGAAGGTATGGCCTCATTTATTTTTTCACAAATATCAAAACAAGTAATTATTCCTCTGAACTGCAATAAATTCCGTCATTCGTGCACCGCCTTTCCTCCAGCAAGATTCTATCATAAAAAGTTAGAGTCCTTCAAGGATAGAAGGACATCCATCCACAAAGATGATGTGACTCTGGGTTGAAGTTGAAGTGATTCAAAAGTAACAGGCATGTAAGATAATGACCAGAAAGTGACGAAAATACCCAGTCTCAAGCACCCAAGAAGATAGCAACCAAATGTCACACCTCGAACGAAAATGCCTTCCAAGAACCGCCACATAAGGTCAGAGAAGTCTTCCTCTATCAGCTATAGGGCCGTGTGGATAGGTCCCAGCAGTGAAAGGGTTTGGTCAGTCAAGCGACATGAACTGGTTGAGAGCACCGGTACATGCAACGTCACGATGGTACAGTACAGGCATGACCGTGGGATACTGTGCAGTTTTGCAATTACAATGTGACCTTATACGCAAGGGGAACCAAACCAAAAAGAGACGATTGAATTAGTTGAGGAAAAAAAGAGACAAAACGGAAGCGAGGACCTGTTGAAGTGTCCTTGCTCACATAACAAGGGAAAAGGGGTTGAAGCCCTCGTAACCTGCCGAATGTCGTAAATCCTTTGACCGTATATGCGGGTACATTTTGTCGCTAGATGGGCGAAATATATCTTGTCAATTTATGGCTTAACATCAGCAACAACACATGGAAATGATTGCAGATGCATAAGGATTCAGCAGGACTGCCCTTTGGAATAACCGTTGCTTTTCCGAGCAACTTTCTGTCCGAATTGAGAACGGAGAAGGACGAAAACCTATCTGGAGCTCAGAAGAGCTTGGGAAGTCAATGCTCTGGTGACAAAGAAGAGGAGTTTCATTAAACCTTGTCCCCATCAGTAGTCGTTTCTCTTTTTGGCCTACTGGTAACTCCCTCTTCGAGGTCGTGCGTTCGAATCCTCCGCGCATCGTTATTTCCGAACGATATTCAAAATTTGCGTTTAATCAACTCTCTCCCGTGCCTTGTCATTATAAACACATAAATATGTCCGCGAAAACGAAGTTCGCCCAAGTAGAGAGGCCTGTGTCGCGGATACAGCTCGTGTTTCCACTCCCTTCGTAACTCTCTTTTGCGATCGCCTTTGGCGTCCGTAGTTAACGTAGCGCGCTACCACAAAAGGATAATTCATACCTCGTGCTCTTCCCCGTTCGTCCTTAATAAACTAGTTTATATATCGGACAAGCCTACGTTTTCCTCTATGACGGGCCAACCATCGGACGTCAGCCGCCCACGGAAACAAGGATCGTATACAGGGCTAGTCCGATCAAGGGTAGCCACGTAGCGATTGCGGCCCCCCTGTTTTCCATGCGTGGCATAATGAGCTTTGAGGCTATCGCGACGTGAGAAGCTGCGCGGACATCCCGGAACCCAGCAAGAATGAGGTTTTCCAGCCAAGTGGCCGGACAGATGACGCTGAAGGCCTTTGAAGTATCGAAACCGACCTTTACACCCCGCAACGCTGCATTTGAATTGTCGCCGCTGAAACAGCCAGGGTATGCTGTTGCGACTGTGACTCGAGTATCCCTGGTTGCCACAGAAGAGGCGTGTGAATTCTTCAAAGTCGTGCCAGGAGGTCGTCCTCCACTCACTGTCCGGCGTCTCACCAAATAAGGCATTGTCGCTCCTATTCAGGATGCTTACACTGCATGACTCGGCAGTGGGGTTTCTCGCGAAGACTTCAACTCCAGGCTCTAGGTCAGAGTCGTCTTTGAACCATATAAGATTCTGATGCTGGGCTTGCTTGGCATATGCATGAATGGAAAATTCCAAGCTGGGCCAGATGTTGCCTAGGAAGCCGATCCAGTGTACTGCGACTTGGCTGTGACCAGCTTGGAGAACAGGCCATTGACAGGGGCCCTGCGAAGGGTAGGAAAGATTCCATTCTGCATAGCTCGTTTAGTGATGTGCTTGATTTAATCGCTCTCTGCGGAGTAGACCGTGACTCCTTACCCGTTTGGTAGTTTCCTCCATCATCCTCCGCCGATGAGGGCGCTGTCTTAACCTGTGAATGCAATGGCTGATGGGCAGATTCAAAAATCTCTGGAGGCACGAAGATCAGGCCTTGAACAAGTTGGGAGACATACGTGAAAGGCAAGTCAACAAGATAAGGTATTGAATAGCAAGGAAGAGGTAGCGACTAGCGAATGCTGTACTGTATGGGACGTGCAGCTGTTGCAAGTAGATCGGCTTTCCTAAAACCTTGAGCCGTGTAAAGAATCTGATGCAACTGGCCTCATTCATGCGCAGCAGCGTGGGCATGAGCGGGGAAGGTGATCGTTTCACCGGGGAATTAGTCCGTTGATTCACACTATCAACGTTTCACCACCCCAATATTACGCTTAATTACATGTGAGGTCAGTATTTTGGAGAATTTTCTATTTCAGTCCACTGAAACCTACATCGAAAAGATATAACTTCTCGTGCAACGTCGGGAAGCATCAAAAGCATCTTCCACGATCACGCTCGACCTAATATGGACGCTTCTCAGGCCCGACCTGGCAAAGACCATCCGGAGGATCAGCTCGCAAATGACCATCCTCTGACCGGCAAACCTGCCCCCGAGAATCAAGACAAGCCGCAGATTGCGGTCGATCCACCCTCTGACCCACCTGTAGTGAGTAGGGAAAGCACGACCGTTTTGATGATTGAGCTGACCACCGTTGGACAGCCCGAGGATCCACAGAGACCTCCCTTAATGGATCAGCCGCTTGAGCCTGCTATGGAAGCTCTCACGCGGCTCGAACGCGAAGACCCTAAACTTGCGTTCCAAGCCGCGAGAATTGTGGGACTGTATCGGCGCTTGTGGGAGTCATGCACTTCGAAGCATATAGAGGGAAGCAAGTTAGCCAAAGCGAATCACGTTCTGCGGGAGACTCATCGACATTTGACCGACGAGAGGAACAAAATGCAGTCGCGCCACGATGATCAAATTGCTCGGTTGCAATTCTTTGATCAGGCACTGGAGTCATCCCGGCTTCGACTGTCTGATATTCTCAAGGATTGGGACCGGTACTCCGAGGGGGTCCTAGCCCAGAGCACAGTGAAAAGTGATGCGGAGTGAAAGGAACATGGCGGCAGTGGAACAATCATTCTCTGATAGGAGATATTTTGGGAAATGCAAGATGATGATAATAAGTCTATAACAGACTCTTCCGCTTTTGAAGTCGCTAGAGTAACGCTTCATTGCGATGGGTCGGCATAAATGATATAACCAACGAATAACCGACTGTGTCAGCAAGGGTTTACAGAAGTCTCAGATATGCCATTGTTGTTGAAGAAATCGCCCGTGGCTGAAATCAATTATTGCAATTAAAGTATGATTAAGATTTCATCCGCAGCAAAGTGTCCCAAGGGAAGAGTCTAACCCTGGATAGTGGTAGTGGAAAAAGAGTCACAATTCCAACACAGGTCTCCCTATACGGGTTGAGTTGAAATGGAACAACCAATCTTCTGCAATATTGATTAGATTTATATCGAAAACTGAAAGGACTTTGAAAGTAGGAATGGAACAGAAGCCGATTAAAACATGGGAGGAATATTTCGTAGCTGACTTATTTACTTGTAGAGACACTCGCACACAGAAGCCATGAACAAGTGATGTTGGCCATAGCAAAAGCAAGCGATCGCTCACAGAGAATGAGACTCGCACACATAACGGACACAAACAAACAACCAGCTCTTCTTCTATTCTCCTTTTATCGTGCCATAGAGACACTATTTCAACTCAATCACCCTGTAGGCGCGTTTCTCGCTCGCCTTCAAAACCTCGACAATTCCATCATTTAAGGCAGCCACAGCTTGCCTGCGGCCAAACAGCTCCAGAGCCTGATCGTTGCAGCACTGGCGCAGTACATCACATTCGGCGTTCAGCCACTCGATTGACCTCTGAAGATGACGTTGCTCTTCCTCAAGTCGTATCTTCAATGCAGAATCGACGACATAGCATTTCCACAAGCAGAGATACAAGTCAAGAAGGCCGACGACGGGGGCTGCGAGGGAGTTGTGATGACGCAATACGTAGTCAAACTCTGTGGTGAGGCTTGCTGAAGGAGCGGGAGTCTGAATCATCTTGAGTCAGCATTGTCATACCATAAGTGGGAGGCTATTTGACCTTGTTCCCACCAGCCGAAATAATTTTCTCAGGTGCTTGATCGTGAATTTGCTCCGGCAGCTCACCGTCAGCCTCTCGGTGTACTTGTTGTCTTTTGGAGGACTGGTCATTAGGGGAAGACAAACGACGTTTCGAAGAGCTCATGGTGTTCGATTTGTTGCTGGATGTAATCTGACTCTCATGAGTGCTTTAAATAGGCGGCAGATCTCTTCATGACATAGTATAGATAATCTCACCAGTGCAACGGCGGACTTAGTTGACAGTTTATCAAAGTCCAAATGCTCCCCTCGGAAACGATCAAGTTGCATCAACGTTGAGACTTGGCCCGTCGAACCCAGTCTTTAAGTCGATAGTCTCGACCGCGCTTAACTCTCAGATCATTGAACGGAATCCATAGCCACGGAAGAAATCCAATGTGACCTGTGCAAATGGCCACAGGTGGCACGGTTCGGTCGTGTTCGTGTCGGATTTTGTTGTCAAGCTGGGGGTTGACCAACCTTCCCTTGCCGGCACAGGTTCCGTATTGGACGGCGTAGGTCAAGGCACTTTCTCCCTCTCGATTTTGTACCCGAAGATCAATATTCCTATGACTGAGTAGAAGTTCGAGAACGTCTTACGATCCACGTTGAATAGCTCTCATCAACGGAGTCTTTCCACGCAGGAAGGTGTTGGCATTGGCACCATAAAGAAGCATGAGCTCGGCCCGAGCATAGTCGTTGTCTCTGGCTGCCAGGTGCAGGAGATTGCTGTTCTCGTGTTGAATGTTGTACTTGAGGATGCTGGGCTGCAATCTGCAGTAAAGATTCCAACATGATTTTCCCAAGGAGACCATGTCACGAACGTTTAGCTGAGTGGCAACGAGCATGAGAATTTGGTTTGGTAGGCTTTGGAGGATTGCCTACAGGAAATTAGCCAATGCCCTCACGAAAGAATTGAGATTTTTCAGCAGCAACATTGAACAGACCATCGTGGAAGACATGCTCTTATAGATTGCGAGAAGTATGCAGAAGACGGCAAGTTTGTGGATGAGGCGAACTTGTGTCTGCTTTTCTAGGAGGGTTCTGAGACTTTTATATTGGATATGGCTTCTCAGGACTCCTATTCTAAAAGACGGCTCCTGAGAGCCAATTGCATGTTCCTGGAGACAGTGTCTCCACCCCGGCGGGCGATGAGCTCCCACCTCCACGTGGTGCCCGCTGGGAACTCTCAGAGAAACAGTTTGGCTGTCTCTGAGTGCCAGGAGGAGCTCAACAACGCGATCTTCCCCCTTTTCACGCCGCGTTGACGCGCCGAAAACCGAGTCTCCGAACCTCACGAAACACCCAACATCATAGAACCAGTACAGAGAGGTAGTCGTGCCCCCTCACATGTACGCCTTTACGACGGATAATGGACCCTGCCACTCCATTGATCCCGCCCGACAATCGTTTACGGTGCCGGATCTTGAAGATTACGCGATGCAGACGCGACGCCGAAGGCCGGACATGATCAACACAACACAGTCAGAACAATTGCAAGAACCTACGCCCAAGAACGACGACCACACTCTGCTCTGATGCTGCAACGCGTCAAAATCAACCTCCACCCTCACGAAACACCAATATACAGAACCAGGACCCGAGAGGAAGTCGTGCCCCCTCACGTCCGCCCCCACGATGGAGAACGGAACTTGTCACTCCGTCCGTCCTGCCCGACAACGGTTTACGGCTTGGAGATGAACGATGACACGCTGGGCTCGGGGCAGAGATGGTTGATTCATGGGCTCAACATTTGGACACCGCAATAACAACGACACCAACAACACCACCACTTCCAAAAACACCACCAACAGTTCAGAACGTCAATTCGATCCTTATAATATTTTGCAACTTCACAGTTGACTTGCGTCCCAACAGATTTTCGTGCCAAGAGGCGCGTCAGACACGTCTTTCTGTCACGAAACATCTACGCGGCCACAAATCAACACGGACCTAGAACACATCAACGAGCAAGCCCCAAACACTTCTACTACCACACGCATACGGTAACATCGGCACTCAAAGTAGCGTACCTCCAAACATACAGAACGAACCACCGCAGTCTCTACAGGAGGGGCCCTACCGGCAGCCCATCCACGGTGCTCAACTTACCGCAGACGAGTGATTTTGTCAAACAGAAGCAGAAAGGGCCAGGAAAGGTCTAACAAGTCATGGATACAGAACAAATATTATAACTATGAATATGGTGTAACTGCAGGAAGCAGGAGAAGGAGGTCACTTTGGTCAGAGCGACTCATTTTCGAATGCAGGAAGCAGGAAGACATGTATTGATAGTTGAACACGCTGCATAGCTGCTAATTAGTTGGTTTACCCAACTAGGCCAAAATACGAATCCGTACCTAGCCTAGTGGGCTGTGGTTTATAATCCAACTCTCCCCCGTAAACCATAGACGCTTGGCTGGGGGCGGTGCATGAAGCTCTGTTGCCTGGCTGTGCGGCCAATCATAGGCCTTCTTCTGGTGGCTCTGGGTGCTCAAACATGCTGACTGTGGGATTTGAACCAGCGTGCACAAAGGTTACGCTAATTCGGGCTCATAACCAGTTGGTTTACCCAACTAGGCCAAAATACGAATCCGTACCTAGCCTAGTGGGCTGTGGTTTATAATCCAACTTAATTGGGCGGCTGGGACAGCCTATGAATAAATCAATCAATCAATCAATCAATCAATCAATCAATCAGTGTCTCCACCCCGGGGATCATGCTTGTGAGCTCCAGGGAGCCCAGGATATCCTAGGAGCTCTTCTAAGACGACCAGAAGCATGCAAGTGACTTGTGGCGGGGCATGACCGGCCAGAATGCTTGGCCTGCGTGCTATAATGGACTCAACCTGTTGTGGTTGCCTGCACAGTATCGACTGTCTAATCCCTCTTTATTTGCTATACTGTATCTGCGACAACAATCGCAATCGGTTGTTCGTCTGGTCGTGTTATATTCCCCGCCTTTCGAAAGACAATTCCTTGTGTAGGGTATGGATAACATTTGCTTCATCCTGAACGTACTCATTTTCCCTCATCATATTCTGACTAGCCACAGAACACTGTTTAGTACCTTGTTCAATAGGTAGAGGTATTTATGCTGGCCTCTCCAGTGATACAATAAGCTTCGGAGTTGAAATCCTCCATAAATATTTGGCCACCATTACCCAGCGTCAGATGGAAGAAGTCTGAAAGTGGGCAGTAAATTTACTGACCATCTTAACTGAGCTTGCACGTCAACAAATGTATACTTTTGAGGCTCGAACGATGAGTGCTGTGCAATTATTGGTGCTATCTTGATGTACAACTTTAAAGTAGGAGCGTACAGTGGACTAAAGTGCCACCAGAGACGTCGACGCCTCAACTACTGATAACTTTACAATATCCATGAGAAGTCTCGGCGCCAGAGGCTCGTACCAACTGGTTAGCTATTAGAATTCTGGGAATTTGCTGTTACTTCTCAGTCGTACCATCTCACTGAATGGCTCCTGGAAACGCACCAAAAGCTCCTGAAGACGGTGCGTCTGTCGCGGGGATCATACCTGTGAGCTCCAGGGAACTTTAAAGACCCTAGGAGCTCCCTAAGGATCTCTGCAAGCATGACTGGTGACTTGTCGCGGGTCCCTGACTTATCAGAATGCCACAGGGCTGCATAGAGAGGCGGTCGCCTTCATCCAATTCATGACCACCAAAACAAGGAGACCTCAGCTAGAAAAGACACATTCCTTCACTGCGGTAGGCAGCTCCGTATGCGTGATGTTGCTGATGAGGTGAATTCGTATGATTTCAGACGAAGCCGTACTGGGGTATAAAGGAGTGGCTTCGGCCCTTGGTTGGCATCTCAATCATTAGAATCGTTTCTCATTTCCAGCATATCACCAAGTCATGTCTTCGTACCAACCGTGGGGCGGTTTTATTCTTAACGAGATAGGTATCGGGGAGGCTCGAATCTGCTGCGGGACTACCAAGACGGGCGCACCGTGCAAGAACTCCATCAAAATCCAAGACATCAAGGCTGGCCAACAGCAACTGGCAAATCTTGCAGCACGACCACCCGACTTCTCGACTTTACGGCCTATTTTATGTGATATTGCAAAAAACTTTCTCTGTGTCAGATGGCACCGGCAGCGACAGGCCAACCAGGTTGGCCAGCAGTGGTATGAGGCCGTGGCTCGCTGCCCGGAACAAGCCGGTCACATCTCCGAGGATGCTTCTGTAGCATTTAATACGGATGCCAGTCAGAGCCAGCGACCCACCCTCACGAGTCCCTCAGAGTCGGAGATTCCCCGCAGGGTTACTCGTCAGAACGAGGAGAGACAAATGCTACCGGGCCGTGACTCCGTTCCTCTCGAGCCATTGGAAAGGACAGTTCGATACGTCACGGCATCGATGCTGCGCACCGACAGTGTTCCGTGGTGTATCTCGTCGGCTGAACCAGCCACTCTATCCGGGTTGAATATCGGGGCGGGGATGCAACATCTGGAACTGCACAGCCTCACTCGTAGCGACGAGGTGTCTCATATACATTGTCCATTCTGTCTGGGTGACGACGAAGACCAAGCGGATGAGAGCGTGATCCTCCGTTGCAAACAGTGCCGGGGATTAGCTCACCTAGGCTGCGTGGAGGAGTGGCTGGAGAAGCGCGAGGTGGCATCTAACGTGTCCTGCTGTGCCTGGTAAGTCTCGATTAGCCTCCCCAGTTACTTCAATGCTCATACGCCGTAGCCGAAGGGACGACGCTCTGGATGCCCTGCTCCGCCCGCCGAGGACGATCACGACAAATCCCGACATAGATGTTGAAAACGCGAGATTACATGCACCTCCAGTGGCGGAAGAGACGAATACCATCGAAAACCCTCAGCGGGCCGGTTCAGCCCGTCTCCCGGCGCAGTTAGTGTCATCGCGCCGCAGATCAACAATGTCCGGCGCGGGACGCAGTGTCCGTCGGTCAGTCCGTCTGGCTAACCCGACTCCTTCGCTTCGCCGGTCGTCGCGTCTGAACCGATCATAGCCACAAGGTGGTGCATACGTCGGTGGTGGGTAGATGGATCGAGTGTGCGAGGCAAGGGGCCAATATTCATTCGCAATATTCCGCACATGCCTAGACAGTTGTTAGATGACCATCCGTTCTGGTCACCGCCGCGAATCAAATTGCGCTGCATATGTGCGAGAAGACTAGTAACACGCACCCTTAATAATTCATCAAACTTTGGTGATTATAGATGCAGAGATCGTGAGATCTGGGTGTTCGACAGTATGACGGCGTGCAATAGCTTTTGAATAATACGAATCAGAGTCAACCTCGGACGCCTGCGGAACACGTAGAATATCAGTATATATCATACTTGATCCGAATACAATGAAGTTACCATTTGTGCTCTTGTTGCATGAGTTAATCCCGCACTGCATATTCCCATCAAAGCCTCATATGCTGCAGAGAGTGGCATACATTGTCCGAATGTTACTGGAGAGTAGTTCTGCCATTCTCAAACGACCCTGGCGAGGTTCGATCAGATGGAACTCCGTAGAATGCCCGATCCTCGTCCAGCGCAATCATGGCATAATATGTCGATGTGTGCGACAGACCGGTAAAGAGGCGCATTCGATGTGTCTGACGAGCGAACTGCCGACGGCAGCCACAGGGAACCACTTCGTTGGTGAGGGCTATATGACGGGTTAGCTGTATCTCCTTGAATGGCCGATTGCCACTGACCTGCTTTCTCGTGGAGAAGCGCCGTCTCGGCACTTGCACAATTGCCTTCATGCAGCACAACATGGTAGTCCGGGCCGCCAGACCCGAGCGTGCGAAATGCCTCCGTCTCGTTATCTTCCCAGCTGACCAGAATGCCCCCCGGGGTATCGCTTCAAATTGATGCTCTGTGGCAGGTATCGCAGTCGTCGTCCAATTTGACGCATGAACTTTATCTCTGCCGGCCGAGATTTCGGATGTGCTTTGAACATGAAGGCAATCGATCGAACCAAGAGCTCTTCTACTACATGACCACAGAAGAACGGGGCGATCGTGTCAGCGAGGCTGCTTGGAGACTAGGACCGAAGAACGACTGGTGGTATGTGGAAGCGTAGTTCAACCTTCGGTGATGAATCTTCAACGTGCCCTGTCCTTTGCCAAAGTATACATCGGCCTTGTTAGTCAAGCCTTTGACGTAAACCACCGGAATGTGATCGGTGAATTTCAGCAGAGCAAAATAGGCCTGCAAAGCTTGATCGACTATTCTCGCAAATGCCGTGTTCGGGACGGTATAGGGCTTCGCAACCTTGAATAGCTCTTGCTGCTCTTTTTCGACGGTTCGGATTGAGCAGTGGGCAGGCAGAAGGTTCTATAGCGTCTCGGGCAGGCACGTCGGGCGCTTGCCGAGGCTGTCCCGGATTGTGTTTACAGTCTGTCTGCATCAGGCATCAGAATGCCAAAGAGTCTGCGTCCGAAGACCTACCTGATCATTGCTATTCTCGCTGTAAAAGAACTGCTTATATGCTGATTCGCGCAGCAGGTATTGCCAGACTCGAATGGTCGTCGACGGCTC